CAGTGGCGAGGAGGCGGAGCAACCTACTCCCCAAGGCTCCTTCCTGTGGGCGCCTGCTGGCAGGCCTGGGCAGGTCCCCCGCCTCCACTTCGCCCCTCCCAAGGCTCCCTCCAGGTGGGGTGAAGAGCCAGAGGGCCGAGCAGGCACCTCCGCGCCGTGCCAACAGAGCAGCTGACCGTAGCAAAGGAGTCCAGTCTGACGCTCCCTTCCTGCTCACGCACAAGCACTCCCGCAAAGGAGCAAGTCCCGCGGCCCAGAACGGTTCCCTCCCTGCCTGCCAGCTGGCAGGGGCTCTAGCTGGCGACTAGGAGGTACATCACTTCCACCATCTGCAAAGAACTAAAAGGAATGTTGCCTCTCAAGGTGCGAGGACGCACCCCACCTGTCTCCCCCCCCCATGTACGCCGGCGATACGTGGCAGGCCGTCTGGAACCTCAGAGCAATGCTGCTGAAGGAGGCCAGGGGGCTGTCCAAGCCCGCTGCTGACAGGTGCCCTTAAGAGGCCTCCACGCAGCCCACAAGCAGGCGAAGAAGCCCTCTCCCCGTGGTGGTTATTCAGGCTGGGGAAAGCCGAGGTGGGCTGTGTCTCGTGCAAAAGCACCCTGCACTGGCTGAGCAAGAGGAGAGGCAGCGCCCGCCCGCCCGCCCGCCGCATCACCGTCGCCTGGACGGGCCCCGTCCACTTACTCGTTCCCAGGCGCAGACTGAGCCAGCCGCGAGGGGAGCACTCGTGCTTGGTCAGAGCAGGGTTCATAATGAAGCCTTGCTCCTCACGGAGCTGAAGTCCGGTGGGGAGGTGGGTGCGGCGGCAGCCTGGAGCATCGAGGGCAGCCGCTGGCCAGGAGCAAAGGCAATCCAAGCAGATGGGGGGCTTCGGGCACACAGCCAGTGGGCACCACGCTCCTCCCGGGAGGCTCAGGGGCCCCCGCAGCCCAGACGCACGCCCCGGAGAATCTCACGGAGCGCGGCTGCTTCCCACTCCGGCGGTGCACTGAAATGTATCCGCGTGGCCTTGCCACAGTCGCTGCTTCCCAGATCCGAGCCTCCGCTGGGTGCTGCGTATTTCCGCACCGGCTTCCTAAGGTCCCCTGCTTCGTGCGCCTTCCCCGTTTCTTCATTAGCCCTGACTTCCAGTCTGGGCCTTCCCCTTTGCTGGCAAGCGGCCACCTGTTCTCCTCTAGACTAGCCCAGCCCCCGAGATGTCTCTCCAGCCTTGGCACTCGGCAGGTAAAAGCTCTGCAACCGCGAGGTTCGCTCTCGCCTTCCTCCCCCGGCCGGCCCCATTTATTGCTCCTGGGAGCACCACTGCCCACAGCACCAGTCAGGCAGTGGAGCCCTCAGAACTTGCCCTGCAAGGACAGCGAGCATCACAGCGGCCGCGGGAGCGGTTACCACAGCAACTAGCCACCCGGCCCAAGCTGTGCCCCCTTTCCTCTCCTCCCTGCACTCTGAGGCAAGGTCGGTTCAGTGTGTCCCATGTGCAGAAGAGATTTGCGTCGCCTCTGCATGTTTCTGCCCACCCAAAACCTCCCCCACCACACACAATATTTAGAACAAGATGGTCTTGGGCTCTGAGATTTCCGTGCGATGCTCTGCTCCCGCCCCCCCCCCCCCCCCCCACAGATGGCCTCCATATTTATTCTAGCCACTGTTCGGGGTGGGTTGTCCGCCAAAGCTTTTCCTGCCCTGCCAGACTCAGCCATATGGGGCGAATTAAAAACAGATTAAGCTAAAGTTTTAACTCTTTCTACTGCCGCTGTGCAACACTGGCAGGCACGGACAAGGCAAGCAGCCTGCTGTCCTGCTGTCCTGGCACTGCCTGCCCAGCCTCAGCTTGGTCAAGACAGAGCTTTTCCATCTAGGCTGCACTGCAACTGTTAAGAAAGAGTTAAGAAGAGGGAGCTGATTTTCCAAGGAAATAGATAAAAGCATTTCCGAAGCTCTCTGGATTACCCCAAGTTAGTCTGACGTAGCTACTCATAGATCTGAACTCTGCAAGAGAACTGCCCCATGCAAGGCAAGAGTGAAGTGGAGCGTCCAAGACACCAGAGTTGCGTCATGCATTGCATATTCCACAGGAACAGCCACCAGCCCTGGCTGCCTGATCGCCGGACCTGCATGATACAAAACGAGGCCTGGTAGCCTCTGAAGAGACTGACTGCAGCACAGACTTGTGGTTTGACGCCCCCATCATCAGATGCACAAAGATGCCCCAGTCCATGAACGCAAATGCCAGAAATACCTCCTTAGACTTCTCCAGTGCTCCAGGAACCTGCTTCTGCAGAGCCAGTGTGTAGCACGGTGAATCCCACCGGACACCAGAACGACACAGCTCCAAGCCCTCAGCAAGCTCCATTCACGGCCTTGTACCCGTCAGTTTTCCCCCTCTCACACACGTAGGATTTGGAGTTGTGAAAATTTGGAAAGTGGGGTGGGGCTGAATTACATGCATTACAGAGGGGCAACAATGAAGTCAGTCAAGGATAGGCAACCATTTCCAGGCCTGTCAGGAGTCATTCAAGTTCCTGACTCCTAGCTGAGGAGATGAGAGGAAGCTGTCCCAGCTGATCTAGGACCTCTAGGATACAAGCAGCCAAGCTCCCAGGGAGCGAGTGACCGGAGCGAGTGAACAGGTAGGATGCTGGGCAGAAAGCAGCAGAATGAAATTCACTTGGGAGAAATGCCAAGTCCTCCACTTAGGAACAAGAAACCAACTGTACTGCTCCAAGATGGGGAACACTTGGCTCAACAAGACTGCAAATGAGAAGGATCTTGGGGTTGTTGTAGATCACAAGCAAAATATGAGCCAGCAATGTGATGCACCTGCAAAAGGGGCAAATGGTATTTCGGGCTGGATGAACAGAAGCATCACTTCCAAAACACATGAAGTACTAGTTCCACTATAATCAGTACTAGCCAGACCTCACCTGAGTCCTGTGTCCAGTGCAGGGCACCTAGGTTTTAAAAAGAAGCTAAGCTAGGAAGGGTACAGAGGAGCACAAGAATGATTCAGGGACTTTTCCTATGAGGAAAGATTGAGAGAAGGTATGTTCAGCTTCAAGAAAAAAAGACTGAGGGGGAATACGATAGCCCTCTACAAGTACTTGAAAGGCTTGCCACACAGAGGAAGGACAAGATCTCATTCGTTCCAGAGTGCAGGACATGGAATAACAGCTTTCAGTTAAAACAAACCAGATTTAGACTAGAAACCAGGAAGAATTTCCTCACAGTCAGAGCAGTACGACAATGAAACCTATTACCGGGGTGGGAGGACTGTAATAGGTGGGCTCTCCCTCACTGGAGACAGGCAAAAAGTGTCTGGAAAGTCATCTGAATGGGATGGTATAACTTAACTGTCCTACAACAGCAGGTTAGACCCGATGACTTTCTGGCCCATTCCAACTCTACCGTTCTATGATTCTATCTGGCAATTTGAGGAATCATCCCGGGCATCACCACAAAAGACTGTACTACAGAGGAAACACTCAGCCTGCCCCCACTCGTATCAGCATTTTTGGAGGACGTCTCTGATGCCCATATGACCCAGAGGCTTTGACAGCAGTAGGAAAAAGTAGCGGCCAGAGGCCCCTGCTGCACCTTGCAGTGTTCCCACTGCTCGTAAGAAACACAGTAAGAAAAATGAAATGGGGGGAGGGGTGGCCTTGATGGACCCGCTCACAGGTGCCACTGGCAAACCCTGTGGTACGAGATGAGGTGGTTGGTCACATTTTTTCCCTTACATTTCATGATGTGCAGAATAACATAATTAGGAAGCTGGGGGTTTTGTCACTTAAACCTATTTATTCTTGGATTAGTTTTCCAAATCTTCCAAATGCTGCACAGAAAGGATCAAGATATTGTGATGCTCCGGTCCTTGTTTATGTGCTGACATATGCTCCACTCAGAGCCTCGGCACACCGTAAAATCACATCCAGAACATCAACAAGCAAAGGCCAGAGGGGTGCTTCTTATGAGTGGGCCAATCAGACAATGGTGCCTGAACAGTTTCCAGCCAGATGCCAGCACACACAAGTATGAAGACACACCTCTGTAGCATCTAGGGCTCCAAAACAACTGCACTTCAGATAAACTGGACTGGGCAGCAGAAGCAAGCATATTCATGGCCATGGACAACCCACTGAGTCATTCAGTGAAAGCAACCCGGGCAGCTGGTCTGCACAAGGCATGGGTTTCTGACCCAAAGGGAAAGAGCTGAAAGGAATCCGAGATTACTGAACATGGCGGAACAGAGATAAAACAGCCACGGGCAAGCAGAAGAGCAGACCGAGGAGAAGCAAGGCCAGCGAGATCTTGATCCCTCTGCTGTGGCATGGCTTGGAGTCCAGCGGACCCTTGGTCTAGCCCCAGAGCAGTTCTTTAATGCCACAGTTTAACATTGTGAGCCACCCAGAGCTCTGCAGCTCCCAGGCAGCACAGAACAGCAATTCGTTAATCTAGATCATTTGACTCTCCTCCAACAGACACAGCCCTGGGCCAGTGCAGCCGTTACAGCAGCCACCCCTCAAACTGGTGTCCTTTGGGTGAGCTGGACTGCAACCACCTTAATCCCAAGCCAGTGCAGCCATTCCCAGCGCGCCTGGCTGGAAACTCTGGAGCTATGGCCCAAGAGATGCTGGGGAAGACTGAGCCACGGCATCTCCAGGAAGTCAGGCAGCCCTCGTCAAAGGCCTCACAAGGCTGCTTCTCTAACGACTGCTCTGAGGTGCTTCCTGTCTATGAAGCAGAAGTCCAAGACCCCTCACAGGCAAAAAGTCATCACAACATTTTCTGTGTTTAAAGCAATTTTTCCACCAATGCCAGGTCACCCAACTGGATTTCACAGAGAGGAACTGTCAGTATAAAGACCCTTGCAAATGCAAAAACTGAATTGCTCTGGTGGGCAAAAGCAAGAGTGACAGAACACCAGAGCAGTACTGTTTTGCTTCCATGCAAACGCCATGCTAGCGCACCAAGTGATGCAGAAGAATCTGACACCAGGGGAGTTTATTCCAAATATTTAATTTTAAAGTCATAAGGAAAACGCACAATTATAACAAGGACATGTGGGTGGATCAGCACTGTACCACCAGCAACAAACATCATAGCTGCTCTCCAATGGAAGGTTCCCCCAAGATCAGGACGAAGGCTTGGAGCTGAACCAGATTTTGCAGATGAGGATTTTAAAAGGGGCTCATGGTCGCCTATGTTCTCTCCGTTTGAGATGCTTTTTTATTTTCAATTTCCCAGCACCTGAAATGTCATAGTTATACTCTGACGTGACATAAGGTATTTCACCTTCAGTCCCCATCTGAAAAAAAGAGGCAGTAAAATGAAAAAGGACAGTATTTCAGGAAACTTTGCTCCCCTGACCCCTGAAAAGTCCCCAAGATAGAGGCCAACAAATGACTCTACAATTATATTTTGAAAATCATGAAAACATTCCTATACTTGATTATTCAAGAAAGTAAATGTGGCGGACTGAATCACAATAGTCATAAAACAAACCTCGTAGAAGATTTCCCACTGGCCCAGCTCACATGTCACAGCTACCCATGGGTTGTTCAAACCGTGGACTGCTGTCACTGCACAGGAACAAGAGACAGGCTGCTTCCTCCTCACCTGCTCTTATTTGGCAAAACAACCTATGAATGCCCCAGTCTACCAGGAAAGAGGCAGGAGCACTGCAGAGAGCTTAGAAGCCTTCACACAACCCTTCCCTCGGCCAATCGGGGTGATGAGAGGCAGTCAAAAGCAGCTACGAACTGAGCTGTCTCCCTGAGAAGCCACCTATCGAAGCTGCCACTCAGTCTGCTTGCTCCCCTGGGCCCAATCCCTTTCTCAATCTGCAAGGGCAATGCTGGAGCGAAGCAGGCTCTGACTGAACCCCCAGCACAAAGGAAGTTTCATGAGCTGGCAGCTCAGTTAGAAGCTGTAGCAGACCTTCTTTGCTCCTCAGCCTGCTGCTGCAGGTCAGCAAGGGACTGGAGGGCCCACCTGGGCAAATCAGCCCCCTCACCCAACAGATCACCTGCCTCCTCACAGATAGCCTTCAGGAAAGGGTGGATTTGGGAAACGTGTGCATATAAGAGTAGAAATAAGGTACAGTCACGACATGGGGGACCCACTAGCTTACAAAAAACACAAGAAATGGAAGACAGGGTGCATAGAATAATGATGTTGAGAAAGTTAACCGACAGATGCTTTTCTTTCTCTCTCTCTCCTAATACTAGAACCCAAACAGGGTCATTCCATAAAGCTGACTGGAGAGAGCGCCAATACAGATGCCAGAAGGGACTTCTTCACAGTGCAGGGTTACACCATGGAACTCATTCCCACAAATGTTCACCAGTCCGGATGGTGTTAAAAGGGCACTGGGCCAATTCATTTGGGAAGAAGAGGAGGTGGAGATCAATGGCTGCTGGTATTGACAGCTACGTGCCACCTGGTAGCAGAGGTGCTTCCAGGGAAGGCAGGAGCAGGTGTGCGGCCTGAGGGCTCTCCCTGGCCACTGAGGCAAGAGCATCCCTGCCTGGATAGGCCTTTGGTTGCCCCAGCACAGCTCTCCTTATGTTCTGAGAGAACGAGGCATGTGCGGGAGAGAGACACAATGGCGTGAGGGCCTTTGTCGCCCACCCCTGGACCGCAGGGCTTTTTGCTCCTGTCCCCCAAGACTGGCCCACACACACAGGCAGCCTGCAGCAGTCGGTGGCCCCTGACCACTCTCAGGGCCGGGACAGGACAGCAAATAATTATTTGTATTCGGATTGCTGCAGGCTGAATAGATTTTAAACTCAAATTCTCATCCCCTGATCTCAGTAAGCAGGCAGTGTTTAAATCGCTGTGTATAGAGATGTGATGGGGAGGGCCTGGACCAGTGCTGGATGCAGCCCTGAGGCCCCAAAAAGACTTGCCCTCCCTCAGGCTGCACAGATCCCGTGAAATCAGAGAGACAAAGTCCACAGCAAGCCCCAGTCAGACGCACTGGACCCCAGAGCACACCAGCGGCCTGCTGCCAGGTGACTGCCACTGCCCCTGGCTGCAGCTGTGCCCCCCACACACCCCCCGTCCTCTCACCTGGTTCAGGAAAATGCAGTTGGGAATGGGAATGCTTCCAATGAGTAAGCAGTTAACTAGCCGTAGATTCTCTGGAGCTACTGGGGTCAAAAGGTAGTAGTGTTTCTTGTCCACATCCACCCCACGGACAATTCCTGGAAAAAAGTAATTGAGTTCTCCTGAGCCAAATAGCAAAGGGACACAATTAGGATTTTTTTTTTTTTTTGCAAAGTTTTGTAAATATACCTACCATACCCCCATGGCAATATGGTAGTCAATGCAATTAGGTTTTTAATGGCTGGTCCCAGTATTTTAGCTGGGTTTTATTGGTTAGTTTTTACAGTTCTTTTTATTATATATTTTAATTTTATTTTGGAATGGTGTAAACTGTCCTGATAGAGATGCAGATGGCACAGTGGTTTAAACTGCTGGGCTGGTTGATCGAAAGGTCGCTGGTTCGAGCCATGCTCCGTCCCAGCTCCTGCCAACCTTGCAGTTCGAAAGCATGCAAATGCAAGTAGATAAAAAGGTACCACTTCGGTGGGCAGGTAACAGTGTTCCGTGCTCTTCAGTGTTTAGTCATGCCGGCCACATGACCACGGAAACTGTCTGACAAATGCTGGCTCCCTCAGTTAGGAAATGGAGATGAGCACCTCCCCCTAGAGTCAAGACATGACTGGACTTTAATGTCAAGGGGAAAAATTTACCTTTACCTTACCTTTAAACTGTCCTGGCCAAATATTTTAAAGTTTATTTATTAGTTAGATTTATATCCCACTTTTTCCTTACAACAAACTCAAAGTGGTTTATATCAATCTCTTCCTCTTTCTCTCAACCTTAACCCCACAACAAGCTGTGAGGTAGGCTGGGCTGAGAGTCTGTGACTGGTCCAAAGTTGGGTGGCTAAAAAACAATGGTTTTTTAAAATAAACAAATAATTTTTTTAAAAATGTAAATTGTATTTTTAAATTTAAATTGAATGTTCTTAATAAAATGCTTTTTAAGAAAAAAAATCTATCTAGATATAGTTTTCTATTTAAGATACATTATAGTCCAAAGGCTATTAATTATGAAATAAGGATTAATTTTTAATTAGGTAACATAAAGCTCTATATTCATGCAATGTTTAAATTTTTGGTAAATAAATTCTATTAATCCATTCACAATGTCATAATCTTACGGAAACCTCTGGAAGAGCACTGGGCAATTTTTTTATCTAAAAGATACTATCACAAATACTTGGTTTTACAGTTCTCAAAACTGTGAATTTGTGACTGCGGAGATCATGTGCCTCTTCTTCGCAGCAAAAAATGTTATAAAATAAACATGCAGACCTAAGAAAAACTGTTCCTTTGCAGGAACACAGAATCACCTCCTTACCTCTTAAGTGCTAAGTTGCAAAAAATTCAATGAATAGAAGATTGTTGGGGAGTGGAACAGATCTGCACAAGAAGCCAGGTGTGAGGAGGGAGGGGCAAGCAGTAAAAATGAAAGTGAAAACTTTTGAGCGGAACACTCCACAAGCCTTTGGATCCTTTTGTGCATAGCCTGAGGTTTATCCCATTTTCCTTTCCCTGAAGGAGAAAACCTATAATGGCAGCAAGCAGTCAGAGTGACCCAATGTGGGAATATTTAAATCAAGTCCTTCTGCCTACGGGTAATTATGTAGAAAATCATGATACACATTTGGTCTTACTGACTACTGATTTAAATTGTGATTTAAATCAATTTGATCCACCCTGGCCCAAAGTCACCCAGTTGGCTCCATGGCTGAGTGGGGACTAAAACCCAGGTTGTCTGAGTCCCATTCTCATAATCATGGCTCCACTCTGACTCTAAAATAACAAAGGAAGAGTATCCCTGAAAAACACCTGGGAAAGGTACACCCCTCACCAAAAAGCAAACAAACCCTTGGATATCCAAGTATATCCTTTAAAGCCTTAGCATAAAAGGTTGCCAAAAAGATTACAAGTTGACACCAGGTGGACCTCAGTGAAAAGATCATCCCATGGGTGGAGGGCCTCCACAAAGAAACCCCTCCTGTTTGTGCAGGCATCCAAGCCTCCCTCCAAGTTGGCATTTGGTGGAAGGCCCCAGATGCTGAATGGAGTGATTGGGTAGCTTGTAGTTGGGAAAAGGGCTCCATCAAGTGCTGTGGTCCCAAGCTGTGTGAGGCCTGACAAGTTAAAACCAGCCCACTGAATGGACCTGGAATTATACAGACAGCCAATGAAAGCAGCCAGAACTAATTTTATATATCCAGACCTTCGGTTCCTAGTCAGTAATGTCACTGCCTCATTTTCCACAAGCTTCAGCTTCTGAACAGTCTTTCAGCGAAATATGAGCCCCAAATAAAGTGCAATCAAAGCCAGTATGCTTCATCTGAACAAGCTAGCAATCTACAGTGAGAAAAGCAAGTCACTGGGCAGGTTTGCATGATGCAAGAAGCCATCTGAAATCTTATGGTGAGGAGTTATGTCATCTGGATACTATCTATCTATTTATTAATTAAGCGTATATCCTGCTATTTAGGCCTGAAGACTCTCTAAGCAGTTCTGGAATTCCTGCATGGTAGGATTGGTTTCTGAAACTACAGAGAGAATCCCATGGTCTGTTCTCAGTTTTCCATGCTTTGCTGCAGCTTCTCTAGTCATCAAGACCAAAGATGATCATTTTACCATTGTTGGTATGGAAACATCATAGTGTCCCCTGGCAAGAGTGGCCACAAAAGAGGCTTCTTCTAGCCTTTAATCTCTATTGTCCTCAGCACCCTAGCAACAGACATGTTATTGCTTTGCTAATGGGAATAAAATGAGCAATGTGTCCATCTCCCTTTTTACTTTGCTGCAAAATGGTTATTTGTCTTTACTAGAAAATCTCTGTGGGCGCTGGAGCAGTGTGGCAGACATGCAGGTGCACCAGGGAGGAAGAAGGGGGAACCCACCTCAGGACCACAACGGACACATCAGGAAGCTGCTGCAGCCCCTCAGCAAGACTAGCGAAAGGACAGGGATGCTACCTGCAGGGGCTGCTGGGAGACATGAAGGAGCCAGGAGGGTGGAAAGGGAAGCACAGAAATTGAGTTGCCACAGGAATCATGTGATTGTCTGACTAGTCGGTTTGGGCAAAAGTCTGTGCACTGTAAAAAAACTGTCATGTGAATCTAGCCAAGGTGTTACATGGAAAGTGCTTACAGGGTCACAATCCTCAAGTGACAGAGGCTCAGCTTACAACAGAGTCTTGGCCTCCAAGGGACAGAGTTCAACTATCTTCCCTAACTAGATCCATCCAAAGCACTGAGAGCTGCCTGCAGGCTGGGGAGGCTGAATGCAGAGATCCAAGAGTCAAGTTAAGGGCCAGCAGGCAAGGAGCCACACGCAAGAAAGCCATCACAAATATGTCCACTGCTGGCCAAAGACCCTTCCCTGACCTTGCGCTGCCGCTTTCTAAACCCCTCACCTCCAAGGCTCAGCCCAACAAAATCTGACCCCTCCTGCTCATTTGCAAGGAAGGCAAGAACAGGAGTCCCACCCCTTGGCATGCTCCAATGCTCAAGGTATTGTTGCAGGTTGGGGAAGAGCACTGGACTGGGAAGACTACCATGCCCCATCAAAATCTGTGCATTTTCTTCCCTCAGAACTACTCTCAGCTGAAAGGGCATGCACGCTCACTGTGGTGAAAGGATCTCATTTTACAAAAGCAGCCTGGATTTAGAAGAAAGCAGAACAACACGTGCAGCCACTTACCAAAGCCCAGGCAATCGCAGATTGGAGTCTGTGCCAGTAAGACTGGCCCACTGGTCTTACAGGGGACCTCATCAGGCAGCCGACAGAGGCCAACCCAGCTGGCGTTAACCGAGTACAAGATGTGGGCAGGAGCAACATCAGCATGGATCACCCTGAGGGCCACAGCATTGAAGGGCACCTAGGAAGCCAGTGCAAGAGCATGAGACCAGCTAGCCATTCAGCATGTTTCCAGGGATCCCTATTCACAGCAACCAACCCTATTCACAACCGTATGATCCAATAGCTGAGAATGGAATCTTTCCTCACCTTTTGGTAGACTTCTGCCTCCTGCAAAGTGTTGGGGACAACCCCTGAAATTGTGGAGAGACAAGAGCTCACACATGCAGTTGCCTGGGCAAAGTAGCAGGCCTTGCCACTCCTATCAGTTCGGAAAGATTTCAGATAGAACTGGAGAGGCCTCTGTTTGATGCCTTGGGAGAAGGGCTGCCAATACGTGGCTAGGGGGCCTGACCCTGTTCTTTGCTCGGCAAGCCCTGGATTGCTACAATCCACCCCTGAGGTCCTGCAACTACCACAGGTACATCACTTACCTGATAGGGCACCAAGCTGTGTAGAGGAACCACCGATTCCATGCCCGGGGGCTGTAACTGACTCAAGTATCCTAGGATTGCCATATCCCGAAGAATACTGCTATGGGTTCGCCTAGAGGGCCAACAGAGAGAGAAATGCCAGAGCAGGCTCGGGGGCAAGCTGCAAGCACGTGCCACGGACAGGCCAGTACTCTCAGAAGGCCTCCAGAACAGGCAGACACACAAACCTCCAATTAATCCATGTGTACAAATAGCCACTTTCTGGGCCTCCCCACTTCAAATTGCTCATTTACCCTAAGTTACTAACTTAAGTACATGTCAGCTGGTGGGCTACTAGGCTATTTTGTGGCCTACTGCCTTGTATAAATTTAGCTGCACAAGCGCGCTGTTCTTTAAAACTGCCAGCATGATTCTGCAGCCTGCATTTATACCTCAGCTTCACGGGAGCCACCGGGGTCTACCACCTCCTCCACACTGCCAAAATAAAGACAAAAACCAGAGCCAGGGGCGGGCGGGGGGCAATGAGAAACTCCTACCAATTGCCTCCTTCCCACACTGCTGAGATAAAGCCTTCCCAGAAGGGCTGGGTCAGGGGAGAGGGACCTGCAACTCAGTGAAGCCAAATGCCTCATGGAATTAAGTATCAACACACAGTGCAATCCTATGCAAGCCTCAACAGAAAAATGGTCAGCAATGCTCAGCATAGCATTGGAGTGCGAGAGAAAAGGCCAAGCAGGCCTTTCTACTGTCCCTCAGACACCTGCCCTGAGTTGTTGGCCAGGGCCACACCTCAATTATTGCTTTCAAACATGCTTAAATCCTACCTTTTTGTTTCATTCAAAGCAGCTGACAAAATGCATACAATACAGATAAAACAAAGCACCATAAAATAGGAACACAAATAAACTGAGAGAACAGAGAATAATCCCCAAATAGTAGGAGCAACATGAGCAAGGAAAATGGCAACTTCAAACCTATTCCAGTTTGCCACGCCAAATGTTCTTAGGAAAAGGGGATGCCAGCAGGGGCAGGGAAGAACGGTCTTATTTTTTATTCTTATTCTGGGAGCCCTTTCTGAAGGTGAAATGGAGAAATGCTTGGAACGAAGTCCAAAGAATAGGTCTTTATACAGAACCGGAAGGCTGAAGCAGAGGCTGTGAGAACACCACGGGACAGCTTCCTTTGCTAGACAGAGCGCCACCACTCCTGGAAAACATACACTGCCAAGCAGACAAGCAGGAACGTAGGTAGAGGCGAGGGCTCCCTCTGAGTCATAACAGTTAAATATGGCACACTGGGAACGTAGGCGAAATTAGGGTTGTGCTGGAACTGCATTTGGAATCCAACTTCCTGCTCTCCTCATTAACCACCCATCCCAACCCCACTCCAAGGTGGTGTCAGGCTCCAGGCTCCCCTGGGGCTTCATCCGCTTGTCAGAACAGAAGCCCACCTTACGTTTGTACAGGATCAGTCCCAGGCCCTGCTGGAGCTCTCAGCAAGCTCTTCCTTCTGGAACCTCTAGTACCTGCATCTTGCCCGACCTGTGTCCTGCCTTGCTGCCTCAGCTCCGCAACAAGCATCTTCTTGCTGGCTGTGCTGTGGTTCAGCTCCTGCACCTTGCCTGACACTTGCTGCATTTGGTCCCTGTTGTATTCTGCCTTGCTGTGTTGCCTCAGCAATGAAGGTCTGTCTGCTAGCTGTGGTTCAGCTCCTGCACCTTGCCTGACACTTGTCACGTAGCTTGCTTTGCCACGCATCCTGCCAGTTATCCTGCCTCGAGAGACCCACAGCCTTCTTGTTCTTGACCTTTGGTTTGCTCATGATCACATTCTTGTCCGGTCCTGATAGAGACATGTGGTTCCTGACCCTGGCCTGCACTGCGACCGTGACTTGTGCTCACTGTTGAGCCTTGCTGCTGGGCCTCGGACTATGCCTCGCCTCAGGTTCTGCTGCCCTGGTCCTGGTGCCTCTCTCTCCGGCGGCTCACAGCCCGGCCCCAGCCCAGGATAGATGCTTACCCATTGCCAGCAACTCCTGCTCCTGGGAATGTTGCCTGGACGCACAGCAGCTTATGATCAGAATTTGGTGGGCAGAAGTCTCCATGGTTCCTGCCCTGCTCCATCCCACTCATCAAGTTCTTACATTTGCCTCTTGTATGGAGGCCAGGAGTGGAACGGATATACTCAGAGGATAGCTGGGGCATGTCCTTGAAGTTTTCAGCGCTGATCTGAATGATGTGACTGGGTACCAGCAGTCGAATGAGGTCGATCAGGAGGAGCAACCCAGTACCTTTGCACCAGGGAGAAAAGAAATAGATGCTCTGAAGGCGGCAGGCATTAGGCTATGGCCACCTACCCAGACAGAACCCAGCCCTCACAATTTCACTGTGCACGTTAAAGCAAAGTTCTAGCCTCCACGGTTACTGCAGCAGGGGGAGAAAGGGGAAAAGCTAGACAGCAGCAACGCCCCCTCCCCAGCCACAGGATATCTTATTCACTGACACTGGGGAGTTCAGCTGTCCTTGTCTAAATTCATAGCCCTAATAACCAGAAACTTGCTCTTGTTAACAAGAAAACAAAGAAAATATCGTCCAGAAGCTAGATCAAACATTACACTCCGCACTCCCAAGGATTTGCAGGACAAGCACAAGGAGCCCCAGTGACGAAACGTCTCGGCACCAGGAACAAAGTGTCAGCCCATAAATGAGCTCAGCAACAAGGGAAGGAGAAGTGCAATTTACCAATCCCTTTTTACATCTGTATTATTTTAGATAATCATCCCAAACTAATAAATAATTAAGGGAAGCCAAGACATGGGCACAGCAAGAGGGTAACTGGACAGGCTTGACTTGGAAATTTCCAAGGGAAAAGTCAGCAGAATCCTCCAGCTCCTGCCGCCCACATTTAAACCAAATCCCTAGTAAACTAAATCCAGGCTTAGAAAGGCAGCAAGCAACATCTATTTCTGCCTTCTCTAGAACCACTTGCCAGGCCTTGCTAGTGAGAGAGGCCTCCAATCCTGCTAGCCTATCCAGAAGGATACCATGGTCGATGGTATCGAAAACCGCTGAGAGGTCCAGAAGAACCAACAGGGACGCACTCCCCCTGTCCTCCTCCCTGCACTGGTCATCGTACAGGGCGACCAAGGCAGATTCAGTACCGTACCTGGGTCTGAAGTCAGACTGAAATGGGTCCAGATAATCAGTTTCATCCAAGAGAGCTTGGAGTTGTCCCGCCACCACTCGCTCTAACACCTTGCCCAGAAAAGGGATGTTGGCCACTGGTCTATAATTAGTGGCCATCTCTGGATCCAGTGACACTTTCTTCAGGACCGGTCGGACTACCGCCTCCTTTAAAGGGGCAGGCACCCGACCCTCCCTCAGAGAAGCGTTAACCACTTCCAAGATCCAGATCCCAATCCCATGCTTGGCGTTGTTTATTAACCAAGATGGGCAAGGGTCCAATAGGCAGGTAGTGGGACGTACTCATCCAAGCACCTTGTCCACATCATCAGGCCGCAATAACTGAAATTCATCCATTAATTTTGGACAAGACGGCGGCATTGGTATCTCCCCAGAAACCTCTGAATCACTACTAGAGTCTAGCTCGTGACGAATCTGAGCAATTTTCTCCCTGAAATGCTTGGCAAAGCCGTCACAGCGGGCCTTCGAGGGTGGAACCAGATCTTTCTTAGGGCCAGGGCGAACCAGGCCTTGTACCACACGAAAAAGCTCCGCCGGACGGCATTTTGAGGAGGCAATGGAAACGGAAAAGAATTTCTTTTTCGCCACCCTCACCGCCGCAGCATAGGCCCGATAATGGGCTCTTAAGTGTGTTCAGTCAGATTCATCCCGTGATCTCCTCCACCTACGCTCTAGCCGTCTCCCAGCCTGCTTCATCGCCTGCAATTCAGGTATATTCCAAGGGGAAGAGTGGGCTCTGCCCGGCGGGAGAGGACACTTAGGAGCGATCGTGTCAACAGCCCTGGTCATCTCCCTGTTCCACAGTACGACCAGAGCCTCGACAGGAGCACCAGTCTTGTCAGTCGGAAACTCCCCCAGGGCCTTCAGGAATCCATCCGGATCCATCCGGCTCCGGGGGTGGACCCACACAATCGGGTCCGCACCCTTACAGAGGGAGAGGCCACTTTCGAGCACAAACCCCACCAGGAAGTGCTCTGACCATGACAGGGGAGTCACGGTCAGATTCCTCACCCTCAGACCACCCTCTTCCTGCCCCGTCGAGAAAACCAGGTCCAGAGTGTGACCACGTTCATGGGTCGGGCCTGTTACATGTTGAGACAGCCCCATGGCCGTCATGGAGGCCATGAAGTCCTGAGCCGCCCCGGTCAGACCAGTCTCGGCATGGAAATTGAAGTCCCCCAGGACCAACATCCTAGGGGTCCTCAACACCACGTCCGAGACGGTCTCCGTCAGCTCAGGCAGGGAGACTGTTGGGCAGAAGGGTGCATGGTACACCAACAGAATCCCCAATCTGTCTTGGTCGCCCAACACCTAGTAGAGGCACTCCAGCCCTGGCCTCAAAGGGACTGGAAGTCCCATGAGGGAAATGGAGGCTTGGTAAACCAAAGCTACCCCCCTCCCCTCCCCTTCCCTCCAGGCGTGGACGGTGCTGAACCAGATACCCGGACGGGCACATTTGAGAGGGCGACATCGCCCCCCCCTCCCGCCCAGGTCTCCATTATGCAAGCCAGGTCGGCCCCCTCATCCACAATCAAGTCATGGATGAGGGAAGATTTATTGTGGCATTAAACAGCAGCAGCACCATCAGGCCCGAGGGGTGGTTGACAAGACCACCTGGAACCCTCTGGCTGGGGGCAGAGCCAGAAGGAGGGACGGGCGTCAGCCATCTGTCCCTCCTTCTTCTACGCGGACACGTTAAGCCCCCACCGCTGTAACGTCCATTGCCCATGATCACCCCAATGGCAGCGCCCACGCGCTCCCCAGGAAACTCAAGCGTCGACATGGCCAGCGACGACTCCATAAAAACAAATTAAAATACAGTAAAACTTTAAAACAGTCAAAAACTCCCCATTTCCCCCCCAATACAAAATTAAAATTCCCCCCACTGACCTAGTCCCCCGCCAGCCCAGCCCCGCACAGCCACAAACGGCGGCAACCGCCCTTTGGCCGGTGGGTTAAGCCGGCGCCCGCCCGCGCACCCCGCCCCAATCCGGCGTTGCTCTCACTGACGCCGGCGGTGGGGGGAGCAAGGAGGGGCGCAGAAACCCGCCCGGCAGCAAGATGGCGGCGCCCTCCTCCGCACCGTCAACGGCGGCCCTGGCGTCCTCCGTGCCCGGGGTGGCCCAGCGGTGGCCGCGGGAGCGGCATCAGCTGGCCCCCGGCTCAGCGGTGTGCCTCAGGTCCGCCGGCGGCGGCAGCGGTGACAGCGCTGCGTGGCAGGTGATCCGGGGCACGGAGTGCGGCAGGTGTTCCAGGGGGCGGGAGCTCCAACTTTTGGACTTGCTGGGAGATCTCCGAGCGAGCAAGCTGCTGCCGTGTGTGCTTGATGATGCCGCCCGTGTGCCCAACGTCACCTCACCGACCCGCGCCTCCAGGAACCCCTGCTTGACTGGCCCGCGCCAGTCACCGCCGCCTTTCAACTGGCCCCCTATTGAAAAAGTTTGAGGACCCCTGTTATAATATATGAATTAAGTGGAGGTAATATTGGTCTCCGGGGTACTTTATTATTTACTTTTTCCAATTATTAATGGAATTTTTGTATGTTATATTATTGATGTTGTGAAAAAAAAGTAAGGTGCTAGTAACCACCGAGAAGTAAATCCACTGCCCTCTCTCAATAGAATAAAAAAAGGAAACTTAATGAAGTTCAGAATCCCCTAGGTTTTTCAGGTGAACAAACCTACACATATCAATTAAGAAAGCAAAAAGCTAGTGGGGTGGTGGGCTATCCAGTGTATTGCACTCAGAGCCACATATATGACTGTCTGCCAACTGAACATAAGTCCTGGGTGTGTGCTTGGTGTAATGAGCTCCTGGTTCTCAAGGAACCTATTTGTTCCCTTGAAGTCAAGGTTGCTGATCTGGAAAGGCAAAGAAGGGTAGGCAGGTGGATGATGAGACCCCCCCGGAAACCAATTAGATGCATGAACTTACATAACTTATAGACTGAAGAATTTTTTTTTCCTTGCTAGAGAATCTGGATTTTTCCATCACTCAGAAAGACCATGAAAGGCCTTCTTCCTTCTTTGGGTGGCTACAGAGCCTGATGATCAGCAGCAGCCCTGATCATGCAGCAGCCCAGGCTGCCTCTCCTCTAGCCAGGGACAGCTGAGGAGGCTGGGAAAGAGCTGGAGTCACCATCCTCAGTGGCTCTACCTCACTGCGCCAACCACAGCACTGCAACCTGTGCAAAGACACTTAATCTCTCAGTGACCTCTGTGAAAGGCAAAGGGAACAGCTGCCCAGACTCGAATTCCAGATTCTAGCTTGTGGGGCAAATGTAACCACTTAGCCTTATGTCCCCTCTGGTCCCACAGAACAAAATTCCCTTTCTATAGAGAAAGCAGGGCATATCTCAAGTGCTGACTTACGGAGAACATACCTTGCACCCATCCCATTGTGTTGACAACCAGAGGAACATCTCTCTCGTAGGCGCTAAACACATACTTCAGTGTGTCAATATACCTTTCGGTGTCTTGTTCACAACTGGTGTCCCCAAAGTATGCCATTTTGCATGGTCTACGTTGGTGAGTAAACGGTGGACCTAATAAGAAGAACAGGCTAGATGGAAATGAAAGTATTACAAGGTGTAGCACTGAAAAAGTACCAGGAGCAAAACATTTCGCTTTCCATGCCCCTGCCGCTCAGAAGCTGCCGGCTTTCCACCAGGCTCTGCCTCTAATGCCAAAGCAGTCTTTCCCCAGCTCTGCTTCAATCCCTTTGGAAAGATGGCTAATGCATGAGGGGGCCCTCTCACACCATGCATCAGGTGTGACCAAATACTTTCCACCCTTCCAAGCACATACCTAGCAGTGGTTCTGTAACATTAACTAGGGAAATGCACCCAGGTGGTGTGAATTCTGGCTGTCCCAGGTCACAATCCAAGAACTCTACGCAGGGAAGGCTGCAATTTAAAAAAAATGGAAAAGGAAGCAAAAGTGTTACAAGGCTGCCTTAATTGGCTATCAAAAGAAAACCCAACCACCTGAAGCTAAGGTAACATTTCATTTCTTGAAGTAAATACAGAGGCTACGCCCTCAGTCATCAAGTAGGAAGTGTCATCAGCAGAAAGACTTATTCACACGCTTTGAATCATTCACAAGCTCTGCTTCCTTTTGTTTGCCTGTTAAAAGTATATGTGTATATTGCTAAACAGAACACTTGTTTTCAGCGAAACCAGCTCTCATCCTGGTCGAAAATGGTGAGGTCTCATTTCAGTGCTTCCACTTCCCTCATTTCCCTACCCTAAGCTCCTGGTTATGACAAAACTGGCAAATATTCTCCAAAAGACATCAATTCAGAAGCACTGAAAGTGAGACCACAACCCATTCTACCCAACTTGTTTATTAACATTTTTTATCAAACATTTTCAAGACATGAATTCATTTTAATAAAGCTGCAAACCCAGAAGCTGAGAGGACAGAATGCCCAGTCAAAGACAGAGTGCCCATGCTAAAAAGGAAAATGGCGCCCATGACCCCTGGCCATAGGGAAAATAGGGAAAAGGCCAAGAGGAAACAATATCACCTCAAACAGCCTCAGCAGCCTCACTCACCGGTTCAACAAAAGATTAATCAAGTATCTGTTAAAAGTTGATTTGCCAACACTTTTGGGGCCACACACGAAAACAATAGGGCAGCTTTCGTCTTCCTCTAGAAAGCAAACACAGTGGGGTTATCCCTGGGAAGTTACAATTACCAACAATCCCAATCCTTGTAGGAAGCACACGTATGTGTGCATTTACATGCATGCAGTGTGGCTATATAAAACTTTGCAGAGCTTAGCATAATTACATCAACTTCAATATGAAAGAAAGGCCTTTCCTAATTAAAGAGTTTGGCATTATTTTCACATATATTTCCAAACATAAGTTTTGGTTCTCCTCTGCATCACAACTGCATGTACCTGTTTTAAGCTACTCACCTTGGCATGCATCCATTAACTCCTCAATGGCTGAAAGCATACAGGCAGGCAGAAGCAGGCCATTCCCTGGGTCCAGCCTCCCAATGCCAGTGGAAGCAAGCACTACATCTTCTGGGGTGAAACAAGGAAGTTTTTGTCTCTAGGGATGAAAAAGCATTTGCCTCAACAAAGGGCAACATGGGAGCAGACTCCAAGGAAAGGCCTGCTGCAGGTTTGACAGTTAGGACACAATCCTATGCAAGTTTAGCCAGAAAATTGTCTTGTGCAGAGAAATCCACTTGTAAAGCATTTATACCAGGGGTGCAGAGCCACAGGACCAAAATTCATTTTTGAAAAGCTCTTGGGAGTCACATTCCAGTGGTGGTCGGGCCAAACAAACAGCAGGATATTTTAGCTTCAGGTTCTTCCTTCCAGTAAATAAGACTTGCGAGAGACACTTCAGTCTTATAGAATGGAGGAAACTGCACAAAGCTGAGTGGGGTTGGGAGGGAAAACCAGTTATCTCCTCTCTTGGGTAGGGGGGAACGTGGACCCTTCAGATGTCTTCAGTGGACAAGGCAGTACAAAAAGCGACCCTCTTCACTCAACATTATCACTCTCAGGCCTCAAACAGTTTTATAGGTTAGCGCTATACATGAAAGCATACTTTAAAGCAAATGGTCATGCAAAATTAAATAAATATAAACTCAAATACAGGTTAGAATGTACCTACCAATAGGTATTAACAACCTTCATGTTCTGAGCAAGATTCCTTTGCATATCAACAGCTGGGCTACTGCTGTTCAAATGTAGGTAGCCCTTCACCACTTACAGAAATAGCAAGAAATTCTATGCAGGTGAATTGAATGGCCTGGTGGATGAAGAGCACTTTGTCCCAGCTCTTCCTCTTCTGGAAGTCCTCTCCTTTTTACTCCCAAGAGAAATACAGAGGGGCAAAACTCTTTATCCTTCTGCCAATGCCAAGTAATGCAATGCTAGTGACCGTTATGGGCTTATGTACAAAGCTGGCCTATAGCCCATGCCCTGTTTGTGAGCTTCCTAACAGCATCTCTCTGACCGGAATGGTAGAGAAACAGCTGGAATAATGGAGAAACAGCTGGCTTTTGATCTGGTCCAGCAGAAATATGTTCTGAGTTAGTCAGCCTCATGTGTTACTATCAAACAGCTAAAAAAAATATCTTTATGCAAAGTGTAAAGTTTTGTCTTAAAACTAGGATACCATCATAACCCAAGCATTCAAGCAATTTAACACAAAGGAAGCCCTGAGCAGAATTGATTTATAGAAATTACAAATACAATATCAGGCAAAAATGCATTTCAAAGGTATAATTCATATTTCCTAGGTTATTATCCTAGTAGCAAATGTGTGAGGGGACCAACTGATTTATATTTTTTCTCCCATCTTTCAAAGTGTACTATCACCACAAGTCAATTTAGACTATAAAAACACAAACACATAAGGTTAGATTTAAACACCCACCCACAACAGTAGCAGAAGCAGTTCCTAATGATTTTAAGTGTCAAATGGAGAGTGGAAGGAAAGTACAATCTAATGGTCCCTTGACAGCATCTATGGGGCCAAAGGATATTTTAGATTCCCAGTTTTGAAGTCAGAGGCAGCCTTCTGACCTTGAAACTACACCCCTTTCTCCCTCGCAACTGGACAGAGAGTGTCTCACTGACTGCGTTTCTTAAGTTGGAAACACAACCTCAGAGAAGGACAAAAAGTGGCATCTCAGTGGGCAGAGAGAAAGGGAGATCAGAGAGGCCAGGATATGAGGTGTCCTAAGGACTCTCATCTTCCAGGTGCTGGAGCTTATGAGCATCCAGGGCACAACCCATATGATTGTGTGTTGTTTCTGCAGGGTTTTCAAAAGCTACATAGTAGTGAAGGAGCTAAACGTATTTCTCTGGGAAGGGAGTTCCAAAGCTACGAGCCACAACTGAGAAGGCCCAAGGATTAGTACCTGCCAACCCGGAGACTCTTGCTGGTGGATCAGAAGGTGATTAGGCTCATACAGGTGTAGGTGGTCCCAAACATTTTAGGGCTTTAAAGCCCTAACCCAGCACACTGAATTGGGCCTTGAAACTAGCCTGCAGCCAACGTACAGAGCAGGAATAATAATGAAACACATATGTCTGTGTTGGAAATAAAACTAAGAGGTAGTAATGGTGAAGGTGATGAAACCATCTCAGAGAAGAGAGTTGCACTCTACCACAACAGAGGAGCAGCTGCCAGTGCATCACACAGTTCTTTTAGTTGCTAAAATACATCAGTGGGTCAATGGTTTTCCGTATCTGTTACATTTAAACAGTGCAAGGGAAGTACAGAATTTTTTTTACAAGCCTTCCAATAAAAATATACAAAAATAACATTGAAATCACCTGAAGTATGTTCTAATTTCCCTGCTGAAATATTTCAGATTAAATACATGTAACATCCTGGGAGAAAAAAGAGTATCGGGTACTTTTAATAGTTTTGCTTACAACATTCAAGTAAAATAAACATGCTAGACTTACTCTAAGTCTTCCTATGCAAACTATTTTCCTGTGCAAACTAGCCCAACTTGTGAGATCCTGCTCTTTGCATATTAAACAAACAGGCTTCCAGGAATGCCTGAGCAGGGCTAAAGTTCAGCTGAAAGCCATGTAATTAATTTGAATAGGCATTATATATTAATTGATATTTGGCATCAGTATATCCTCAAGCCATCCTGGATCTGTGTTCACATCCTAAAATAACAAGTACAAACAAGCAGAATGAACTCACTTTTGCTCTGAAAATATGAGAGAAGCTTGAGTGGCTGAGAACGAAACTTGTCACTGGTGTATCTAGATGCTCCAATAAAATGATGGAGCTCTGGGGAGCAAAGTTTTTCATCAGTTTACATCTTGCTTCTGAAAAGAGGAAGGATGAGACTACAAGTCATAACTTGAGCTGAACATTGATATAAGCACATGGCCTTATGCAGCCCATGCAATGCTACAACATCGCTAGCAGCTACAGAATATGGTTCCCCAGAAGGAGCACTGCAAGATCGCATACCAGTCCCCGCTGCAGAGCCTGCACATTCTACCCAATCCTCCTCTGAGTTGCTCAGGCCAGAGCTTCAACTACTGAGCAGTACAGAAATCAAACAAGCAAACCAACCAATCACCTCAGTTCCCATCATTCTAGTGGGCATGGTCAATGCACCTGGAGCATAGTTGATTAGGGAAGGCTACCCACAATTAATCCATCTGCTGAGTGATATTCAGTCAGCCGGGGTAGGGCTTCTCCCACCAAATTTAGAACCTTCTTCCAGAATGTGTTTGTGTGCATGTTGCCCTTCTACTGACCTCGAGGCACAAGATGGGCTCGGAGTATGGACCTGGCCTCCATTTTCCGCTCCTCTGATTTTTCCATCTCCTTATATGCTGTTGCTTCAATGGTGAGGGCACAGTGGGAGTGAGGGGAAAAGAGATTGTAGGGGGGCTGGTCTGGAACGATGGTGAACCCGAACACCTGCACAGAGCCATACAGGCATGTCAGGCAACACTTGCCAGTGAATGTCAAGGTCTGTGAAAGCAAAAGAGATGCCAGGAGGGGGTATAAGAAAGCTGCAAAATGCTACAGTCACCATAGCTACCTTTTCACCTGTTCTGTTCCCCCCTTCCCCAGTGGCACCCTGGCTGTCCTGAGAGGCAAACAGAAGCAGAAGTCTAAATCTGCAGATGTTCTAGATTTCAAAGAGGAGTGATGGAACCAGGAGCAGGCCAAGTGACGAAAAGCAACTGCAGCTGGACTGAGAGATGAGAAGCACGCCACTTGCTGGCTCTGCTCACAAGCTTCTTGACTGCTTACACTTTCCCTCGCTATCACTTTCAGCTTTTGGTGACATGTCTTGAAAGCGACTGAAAACCCTGCAGGAGTGTGGGGAACCCTGTTAACCACATCGCGAAATAAACGATACTCTTTCCCAGAAGCCCCCGCGGGCAAAGCCAATGGGCGAGACCGCCGAGAAAGACAACCTTCCGCTCCGCCCAATGCGCGAGCTCCCACCTACCTGCCCCAGAGGCAGCAGCAGCACGGCACAGCCTTCCTTGGCCTCGGCGGCCGCCAGCACTCCCGGGCCGCTGCCTCCGGCCTCGGGCGTCTTCTCCTGCTCCTCCTCCGGCGGCGGCGCGATCAGCCCGGCGTCGAAGAACGAGGCCGCGAAATCCCCCCAGGCGTCGCCGCCGCCGCCGCCCTCTCGCTTGGCTCGCGCGGCGCCCTTCACCTGGCGCGCAGGCCGGGCCGCAGGGGCAAGCTGCGCCCGCACGGCGGCCGCCCGTCGGCGAAGCCGCAAGCGGCGGTTGTTGGCCATCCGCGGCGCGCGAGCCTCCGGGCCCGGCCGCACTCTCGCGAGGCCTGCCCCGAAGCCCGCGAGCCGCGCAGGAGGGCGGCGCGCGGTGCAGGCCGGGACGGAGAGCGCGCGCGCGCGCGGGGGGGAGGGGCGCCCCGAGCGCTATGACGCGCTCGTGACGCGCCTGGGTGGTGGCCCGCCGGCGCGCCTTCTCACCACGCTGGGGGGGGGGCCGCACTCTAAGAGAGCCGCCCCTTGACCGCCCCCCACGACGCCCTAATATTTGTGAACGGGTCCGAGCTGTAGCTGTTTGGTGTTCGAGAGAGGCCAGCCATCCCATAATGCTTGCTGTAACTTGCAAGAAGGCCTTGCACAGAACATAGAAACAGAGCGAGTCAGAAGGGGCCGCCCGGGCCATCTAGTCTGACCTCCGGCACCAGCCGGCTCCGCTCACGACATGCCCACCATGTGTGTGTCCAGCCTATCCTTGAACACCCGCACCAATGGGGTCTCTACGACCTCTCATGGAGGCCCATTCCACACCCTCGGGGTCCCGACTGTCAGGAAGTGCTTCCTGGCATCCAAATGGAGCCTTGGCTCCCTGGGCGTTGCTCGTTGGAGCACATACTGCCCTCCCCTGCAGGGGAGAACAGGTCTCTACCCACTTCCGTGTGGCACCTCCTCAGAGTGTTTGTCACCCAGCAACTGTGGCCTCAGCCGGACTATGGGCCAAAGGCCTCTGGGTGGCCTCCTTAGCAATAGCTCTGGGGCTGCGAGAGCAGCTGCCGGTCTGTGCTCCTAGGCTGTGAGTTCTAAAGCTGCAGATCAGTCAAGCAAATTAAGAAAGACACCTGGACGCTTGGAAGGTAGCACCTGGCTTAACTGCTTCCCCTTGACATTGGTGGTGATCAGAAAAACTTCACTAACTCCAACCACAATCTAGGTCAGGGAGACATGCAGCATGATCCAAACGTCACAAGAAACAGTTCTCAGACAATACCAGCAAAACAGCCTCAAGACAAAGAAGCAAATCTTTGTATAGGTTTTGAACATTATAGTTCTTGGGGGAAAGCCCCAAAGATAGCCACACATCTGCAAGTCCCTGCAAGGTATGGGGGCTGAGGCTGAGTGAGGTTGGCTTGTCATAGCTCTGTAAGCAGTCATGTAAGTGAAGCTGACTCTCAGAGTAGTATGCATGATCCTCCAGTGCAAATAGTCCTTTTGCCAGGAAGTAAACCTCATGGAGCTTGGTGAGTCTTCTGAGTAAACATGCATAGGAATTGCCATACTAACAATTTTGGCTTCCAGCCCAATGGCCCCCATTGAATATACCTCACATTGCAGCAAAGACCAATCTAAAGTTCAATTTTGCGTCCTCCCAGCCCCCTCCACGCTGAAATCCAGTGTTGGGTTGCAGGTAGAAGACCTGAGCTCTGTTGTTCTGTGTGACCCACATTGCACTATTCACAAATGGACCCTCAAGCAGGTATCCCAAAGCTGAGGCTCACCAGATGAGTTGGCTGCAAATCCTAGTATCTCCCAGCCAAACGTGGTTAGGATTAGGGAGCTTAGCAAGAGAAGAGCTCTGATGCTGGGCGAAACCAAAATCTCTCTTGTCCAAAATTCTGCTCACTGCCAACCAGATTATGTATTTATTTACTTGTTTAAGTTATCATCCAATAGTTGAAGCTTTCTAGGCACTTCACAATAATTTCTCAACAATACAAAAGGAGGCAATAAAAATACAGATACAGGTATGATAGAAGCAGTATAAAATTCCAACATACAAATTTTAAAAGTTTAAAGTTCCGATACATGAAAAATGTAAAACAATTTAACCATCAAAAACAATTTCAGTAAATCTGGACCTAAATTTAAGCATCATATGCCTGGGAACAAAGGGCAACTTTAACTTGATGCTGAGAAGATGCTGCAGGGAGTACCAGGCAGGCCTCCGATGCCCCAGTGGGAAGCCTACAAGCACACAAAGGGGACCATAAGCATCATGCCTGGATCTGAGGCACGAGGAGGCAGAATGCAGCCAGGTTCTAGGTGCATAGCAGATGAGGTAAAGGTGCATCTGGTGAGGAGGAGGTGTCAACGCATGCCAGGGTCAGCATCACAGATAAGGCAAAAGCTGTCAGAACATGGATACTTTAATATGGATACTTTTTGATTAAACACTGGGCAAATCATGTGGAAGCCAGCATGGCTGAACCTCTCAGTAACAGAGTGTTTGCTTGAGGACTTCCTGGGGCGTCTGGCTATCCACTGTTGGAAGCAGGATAGTGGAATAGCTGGTGATTTAGCAGTGTTCTTATGTGCAGTATAATTGCAAGCTTGCATTGGGAGAAACAATTTATAACAGAGGTTTAAAAGAAGGAAATAAACAGATGAAATGCAGCCATGTCCAGAAACAAAAGGACAACTCCTTTTGCTACAGTTTGATTTTACCCAAGCAGCCACAAAAGGGTAGCATTGTCCTTGCTTTCGTGGTGACTTGGCTCCATGAAACAACCCATGACAGGTTATGGATGGGTTATCCCGGTGGGTTGTTTCGCTGGAGCATGCAGGGAGCTGCAGGCCTTTGCACCTTCTAAACTCGGATGGGGTTTTGCTTGCACCCACTTCTGTAAAGGCAGCCCGGGATGCTGGGGAGATGGCTGAGCCAAGGCTTCCTCGATCTGACACTGACGCGAGTGAGCAACACGGAGGGAGGGATGCGTGCACCGACGACGTTGCCCCTGGGCTTCTGGCTCATTTCAGGCGAAGAGCCTGGCCTGCAGAAAATGACAAGGAGGGTGGGCAGTGTGTTCTCTTCCTTTGGGAGCAGCACGGAGTCTCGAGGCCCATGTTGCAGAAGCTTGGCTTGCTTGGAATGCCACAGAGCCAGAGAAGTACTGTGGTTCGTCTGTATTTCTCCCCTCAAGGCGGAAGATCCCCGCAGAGCAAGCTGGACCAAGGGATGCACCAGCCACTTCCACCTCGACAGTCACATCCTGTTCTCTCCTTCCTTCAGAGTGGCCATGTCTTCGTCCCAGCCCGCTCCCCCACACACAGCCAGGCCCCAGCCTGTGGATTCATTCATCCATACAGCAGACCATCCTCAGCCCTTCAGGAAACATAGAAACAGAGCGAGTCAGAAGGGGTCTCCCAGGCCATCTAGTCTGACCTCCGGCACCAGCCGGCTCCGCTCACGACATGCCCACCATGTGCACGTCCAGCCTATCCTTGAACATCCTCACCAATGGGGCCTCAACCACCTCTCGTGGAAGCCCATTCCACACCCTCGGGGTCCTGACTGCCAGGAAGTGCTTCCTGGCATCCAAATGGAACCTTGGCTCCCTGAGCTTTGCTCCATTGGAGCGCGTCCTGCCTTCCTCTGCAGGGGAGAACAGGTCTCTACCCACCTCCGTGTGACATCCCCTCACATACCTGTATGTCGCCAACAGAGCCCCTCGGAGTCTCCTCTAGGCTGAAGAGGCCCTGATTACTTATGCAGGTGCTAGTAACACTAATGCACAGTGACTGAATAATCACAAGTGTCTCCGCCTGGCCTGCTAAGGGCTCTTCCCCGCTTGAAGTGATGGCACATTCCTGCAAGCAGAGGCTCGTGGTGGCCTCAGGTGTGAAGGCCCCATTGGACTGAGCTGGTAAGGAGCGTGGCCGAGGGAGGCACACGCACGCGCTCTGCAGCAGCGTGTGCGTGTGCCCCCTTCATAATCCTTTGGGGACCCTCCCCTGGCGGGAGGGCTGCCAGAGGTCGCCAGGATGGTAATAACTAAAGCTCTGTCATTTTATTGGCATAAACAAGGCAACTAACATTCACTTACGCCAAGCAAAGCCTACATTTGAAACATCAGAGACCCAGGCTTGGATTTTTAGGGTCAGGTATGCCAGAACAACATGGAGGGAGTCACTGAGGGAGTGCCCGTGTCTGCAGGACCCTCCTGGAAGGACTCTGGAGCCACTGCCAAGGCAGTGAACACTGCAGGAGATATTGAAGCGTGGCTGCCTTTTTAAGATGTTTACCCCCCCTTCCAAAAAAAGAATACACATACATCTGGGGTTTCACAGCTGAGGACTAGAAACTTGTACAGGTCACTAGTTTCCATCTGGTGCTTCTTGGTGCAGTTGTCACAATATCAACTGAGAGGGAGAGAGTTTATTAATGAATATAAACTGCACCTCAAATCTCTAGGGAGCCCAGGAGAAGCTAAGTGCACATTACTTGGCCTCCCCTGCAACATTTGCTAGGAAAAGTAAACCACACGATTTGCTTGGTTTTCTTCCTGCAGCTGGTGCATCTGCTTGAGGAAGCGCCTGGGGCCTTTCCTCCCTGTGTTGCCTCGGGGTGTCCAGGGGTATGTAAATAAGCCAGGGGAACTAACTCGGAGCTGTGCCACCGGGCCACTTCTTCCAAAGCGCAGCACCACCGGCTCCGGGGCTGCGCCAGACTCCCGAGCGCATCCATGATGGGCCTCCCCCTCCCCTCCCTCACACCCCTTCTGCTCTTGGCCTCCTGCTGCAGTCCTTCCCAGGGGTCTTCTTCCCCACTGAGGCTGGGTGGAGATTACATGCTGGCAGGGCTGTTCCCCATCCACCGCAGCACCGCCGTGAAACGTCACAGATCTAAGCCAGAGGTGGACAGTTGTGAGAGGTAGGTGAGAGGGGCCAGAGCACTGAATGGCCCTTTGTATGTTGCGCAGGCGGCAGCAGGAGGCACTTTGGGCTTTCTCTGGCATGCAAGCGATTGTAGCTACGGAATGGCCCTCCCAAATCTCTGAAGCCCTGGGCCACATGTGGCTGAGGGAGCTTCTCCCCGCTGCTCCCCAGCACCTCTGTGCCCTCTCAGACTGGAAGTGAGTGGCTGCCATTCCGCAAATGAAGCCGCGGTTTGATTGTGCACCATTATTCAGCTGGAACCTGCTTCAGCAGAGGCCGGGCGTCTTCACACCGCTGAGACACACGTGCCCGACACTCCTTGGCCCTCCAAGCCAGCTGCAGCGCAGTGGCTTTCTTACATCCCGGCTGGACTGCCGCAGCCGTCCTCACGCAGGGGCTGCCCTTCCTTGGAAATGCTGCAGCAGGAGTTCCAGTCGGGGGACATAGTAAGATGGGGCCCCTCGTCACCACAGCTTCCTTGGCTGCCAGTCTGTGTTTAGCACAATCCCGGGCGCGCGATGGGGGCCCGGCGGTCTGGAGGAGCCCCTCCCACCGTGAGCTGCCGAGGCTTTAAGGTCCGGGGGGCGTTGCTCCCTCTCACGCCGTTGCCAGAAGTGCATTTAGCAGGCACGCCAGAGGGCCTCCCGGGCTGCTCCCAGTGCAGGCACTGCCTGCAGGGCACGAGGCCGGCTCTGCCCCCGGCTGCCCTGACACTGTCCGCAGGCGTGTGCCGACGGGGACGGGCGCTTGGCTGCCGAGCGGTTTTGCCCACTCTAGGAGGGTGTGGTTTATTTCTTACTCCTTTTTAGCAGATGTGATTTAGCAGTAGATTTTGGGGAGACCTGGCTTGGCAGCAGCGTACGTGCAGATGATCAACATGCCTTAAGGCACAATCCTGTGGCCCTCTGCACATTTTCTGAGTGGCCATAGGATGCTGGGGGTGCAGGTCTCCCAAGGCTGGCAGAGAGCCAGAGCGCCACCCTGCCCTCTCCCCTTGCAGCTGGTGCAGAAAGAACACACCAACTGCCCTCCAAGACTAAGAAACCAATCTCAGACGGGGGAAAGGGACGCTTTGGGGGTGGGGAGAAGAAGAAGGCATAGAGGCCAGGGCACAAGCCACCCGGAGTCTCTTCTGCCCCCTCCCCTCCCCTCCCCTCTTGAAGTGCCATTGGTAGATGGGCTAAGAAAACCCGGCTAGCAAAATATGCAGGGTCGGAAGGTAGGAAGGTGAAAATTGCCTCCACAATTCCTCCCACCTTGCTTGGGAGCCTCCAAGTTTAGGGGCACCCAGTCATTAAGGGGACGATTGATAAGACTGCCCATAGTGAATCCCATGCTGAGTCCAAGCCAGCAGGGGCTGCAGCAGCTGTGAAGCAAATGCAAGCTTGGGTGGGTGTTAACCAAGCAGGCTCTTCAGATCATGGACGGTCAACATTTCCCTCTGTCCTGCATTAGTCAGGCTGCGTTTGGGGTTCTTTGTCCAGCACTGGGTGCCTCGTTCTAAGAAGAATGTTGGGGTGTTGTGGAGCCTTCTGAAAAAACCAACAGGGATGGGGAGAGGAACAGAAGCCAAGGTTGCGAGAGCTGGGTTGCTTTGGCCTCGGGAAGAGAAGAAGAGGAAGGGGAGCCACACAAGTGGCCAGAAAGCCCTCATGACTAAGACGGAGCAGGAGTGTTCTCTGTTGCTCCAGAGGGCAAGCCTGGAATTAGTGGATGGAAATGGGAGAGAGGCAGATTTGGCCATGACCCCACCCCCCCTTCAGCAGTGGAAACATTGCTTTGAGAGGCAGCGGGTTCTGAGGGGTCTAAGCAGAGGCTGGGTGGCTGGCTGCCAGGGATGCTGTAGCCATGCCTGCAGCCGGGGCCCCCCACCTCTCCGATTCCATGGAACGGTGAGTTCAACAAACAGTGGCTGCCACAGGAAAAGCCCTGCCCTTGCTGGTACCACTCGCATAACTGCTGTGACAGCCAGACGCAAGCAAGGCCGTTGATGCTGATTCCAAACCATGCAGGCCAGCCAGTAGGGCGAAGGTGGTCCTCCAAACAACACTGGCACGAGGCCATCCTCCCTGTGGAGGCAGGGCTGTTCCACAGCTGGGGCCACCAGTGCAGAGGCCCTCTCGCTTGCTGCCTTTCTGCCAGCCATGCTTGGAGGAGGCATTTGGGGGCGTTCACGGGCTGCTTGCAATGCACGGTATAGGTTTTGAGCACGGGCGCCTCAAGCTGGCTCTGTCTACGCCAGGCAGGGTTGTAAGGGGCCCTCGTGGCAACCCCTGCCAGTGAGCTTCCCCAGTTCACGGCGAGTCTGAGCTACACAGTTGGCTCTTCTTCTAGGAGCTGTTCCAAGCCTCCCTCCATAGCAGCTGTTTCCCAGCCCAAAGAGCCTCCGACTTGCCTGGACTGAGCTTCCGCTTCTTGCCCTTCGTCTAGCCCCCAAATGTCTGTGGACGTGGATTTGAAGGGATGAGTAGCCAGAAACAACAACAGTGGGGCTAGGTGTCCTTCGTATGCTGATGCAGTTTCCAGAGGGTTGGCTGTGAAGCTTTGCCTGTCCTCCTGCCTCTGCCGCTCCGGGTCAGGACAGCGCCTTTGCCACCAGCGCCTGCACCTGCTGCTGTCATGCGCCTCATTTCGCGGACAGAACAGGAGTCGGAGTATTTTGCAACTGGGGGCCGCCTGCGAATCCTGCAGAAGAGACCTGGGCCTGCCGCTGCTCCCAGCGTGCGCAGAGGCACGAGGGGCCGGTGCCTGAAGGCGACTGCCAGCCCGCCTGGCTCCTCTCCAGGCCCCCTCTGGGCTCTGGGCCCAGGTTTGGTGACTTTCCCCCGCCTTGCCCAACGTTTCCGGATGGGTTTGCGCACAGCTGCCAGCACGCCTGACTGTGACCATACTGCCTGGGGATGATGGGAGTTGCAGTCAAGTACTCCTCGAAGGCACCACGTTGGTGAAAGCTGCCTTACATGGTGCAGACACAGGTCTCTGGGAAGCTGCCCCTCCAGCCCCAAGGCATGCATCACGACGAGGAGGAGCCCCCCTGCCCCCCCCCGGGCCGACGAAGGAGAGGCTGCCAGGAGCGGGGCTGCCCCCCCTGCCGAAGGGCGCTCCTGGCTCCAGGCCGGGTGCCCTGGAGGGCAGGCGCAGCCGCGTCCGTTGGCCCTGGCTTCGCCCGTGCCTCCAGAGAAGGGCCTCCCAGCAGGGCAGCCAGCCTGGCCGGGGGCAGGGAAGGAGCCGCTGCGGCAGCCCGGCTCGCCCTCCCCTGCCAGAGGGAGCGCCCAGGAGAATGTCGAAGTTAGGCAGTATTCCTCCTGCCCAGCCCCTTTTCTTTTCACACTGGGCCCTCGGGTTGTAAACTTTTGGGCAGGCGCTGTCTCATCTTACTAATCTTTGCAAGGTGCCCTAGGAGGGCCCAAGAGGGAATCAAAAGAGCTGTGAATTAGAAAAATGCAAGAGAATAGCTGCCCTAAGCTGCCTTGGTGGTCTTCTCGTCCCCACAGCCTGGACCAACGGCGTCTGCACAGCTACCACCTTGTCCAGGCCATGCGCTTCGCGGTGGAGGAAATCAACAATTCCAGCCGCCTCCTGCCCAACGTCTCACTGGGCTATGAAATCTACGACAGTTGCTTGCCCTCCACCACCATGTACGCCACACTCAGCATCCTGTCCCAGGGCGGGGGCAGCTGCCACAGCCATCAACATGTAGCCGTGGCTGCCAACTACACGTGGTACCTGCCCAAGGCAGTGGCCGCCATTGGGCCCGACAACAGTGAAGATGCTCTCCTGGTGGCCAGTCTGCTGGGCATCTTCCGGATGCCGGAGGTAAGCCACAAGGCCGTGACGGCACGGGTGGGATGCTCCCACGTCCTCTGAGGCCACGGCAGCTCTCCAGGTTGCGCTGGAGCCATATGCGGAGCCAGGCGTGCGCAGGGCCTGGCTCCAGGTGTGAGGAGCCCGGAGCCCAGAGCTCCCAGTGACAGTGCCAGCCCGCGGGAGGGAAGAGCATTTCCCCAGGAAGTGGAGGTGCTTCTGCTAAGGCCGAGTCGCTAGCAGGAGGACCATCAGTTACAGGAGCCTGCTCCCAAGTTTTTGCTCCCAAGCCACTCACTGTTGGCCCCGCCCTGCACAGGGTTGTGCCCCCAGAGCCTGAGCCTGGCTCCCCCCTTCTGAATTCTGTAACTGCTTTGGGGTGACACCCTGCTCACCCCCCCGAAAGAAGCCCTTCTGGCTGTAGGGTCTTCCTCTGTCTAAACCTGCACAGGGTGGTGCCTGCAATGCACTGGAAATGCTCCAAAAAGGCTCAGTAAAGCCTCCAGCCAGCAAAGAAAAGAAGGACGGGCAGCGGGGCAGCATCAAGCATGCAGCCAGCCATTCCCGAAGAAAGGCCCTTGCGCGGCTGCAGCCCCCGCGGCCTCTCCCTTCCTTCCCTGCACTTCCAGGTCAGCTACGAAGCATCCAGCCCGACGCTGAGCCTGAAGCGCGTCTACCCCTCGTTCCTGCGCACGATTCCCAGCGACCACGTGCAGGTGCACGCCTTGGTGCGCCTGCTGAAGAAGTTCAACTGGGCCTGGGTGGCGGTGGTGGGCAGCAACAACAACTACGGGCACCAGGGCCTCCAGATGCTGCACGACACGGCGGCTCGGGAGGGCATCTGCTTCGCCTACCAGGGGGTCATGCCCGTGGACCAGGATGCTGGCAGCGCAGAGCTGGAGGCCGTGGTGCGGGGCGTGGTGGCCTCTAGGGTCAACGTCACCGTCATCTTTGCCAACAAGCACAGCGCCGCGCCCTTCTTCCAGGAGGTGGTTCGGCAGAACGTGACTGGGCGCGTGTGGGTAGGCACAGAGGACTGGACGCTGGCCACAGGAGCCTGGCAGATCCCAGGCATTCGTGACATTGGCACCATTATGGGGATGGCCATCAAGCAGACCTGCCTCCCAGAAATGGCGGCATTTGATGCGGCCTCCAGCCTGGGTTGTGGCAGGGCCACAGATTGCTGGAACCGTGGGGAAGCTTGCAGCCAGCGGTGCTCCCGGTTCTGCAGGCCAGGCTCTCCCGACGGCAGGCTGGAGCCATCTCCGTACGACGTGCAGGGCGCTTTCGGCGTGTACTCTGCTGTGTACGCCGTGGCACACGGCCTGCATCGCCTGCTGCATTGCCAAAGGGGGGTATGCCACAAGGACGTGGTCTACCCGTGGCAGGTAAGCATCCCTCTCTGGCCTTCGTCTGGGACAGAGCTCACCCGCCTCGTTTCCAGCTGGGCCAAGTGCAGGGCATCTGTGGCCGGGCAGGGCTCCTGCGGCCCGCGAGCTGGCCTGCGTTTCCCTGGGATTTGCGGGCTGCAGGCGAAACCCATAGCGCAGCAGGGGCTTTCTGCTCCCACTCCCCTTGAGCAGCCTGGGTGACCTGAGCCAGCCACTCACTCTCAGCCCAACCTTTCTCACGGGGGGGTGGTTGTTGTGAGCATAAGAAATGGAGGGGGAGAGAACTAAATACGCTGCTCTAGGTTCCTCGCGAGAGGAAATAAGGTGGGGTGTAAATGCAATGCACTAGCAACACCATGCCCTTTCAGCCACTGCTGTAGCTGAGCCTTCTAGAGATACATTATCATCATTATTTGATTTCCATACTGAGAACAGCTGAGGGGCTCCTGTGTACAGTAAGCTGGTGTCAGCCAATCCAAAATCAACTTAGCCGTTGGACAGCTGGTGCGGGAGTGATAACAGTAGGAATGCTGGACTGGGAGAACAGGAGATCTACGGAGCTTTCTGGGAGCTTTTGGGACAGCCATTGTTGTCACCCGAGCCTTCTCCACAGGGATGTGAAAATAAAATGGAGAGAAGGACTATCTAAGCCAACACCAGTTCCTTGCAGGGGGAAGCAAAGGCAACAAAGTGTAATCAGAAAAATGCAAAACATGGAAAACCAGCACCTCGCTGCAAGGAGGCACTGCAGCCAGAAGTCAGGTCCACCGAGTGCAGCGAAGTTTAATCCCCAGCAACGACGGGCCGTTCTTTAAGTCTGTGCGCAGCTGAGAACAGACACAGGATTTTACTCAGCACAGGCTCGGCCTCCTCTGGAGTCCCGCATCCGGTTCTGGGTCCCACAGGTTAAGAAAGATGCATACGAGCCAGAAAGTGTTCAGAGAAGGGCAACAAGGGTGATCCGGGGACTGGGGACAAAGCCCTCTGAGGAGAGATTGACAGATCTGGGCATGTCTCGCCCCGATTCGTGTGAGCAGAGGCCATAGTTCCTTGCCAGCACTTGCAAGGCTGTCACAAAGAGGAGGGCCAGGGTCTCTTCCTGGGCACCCCGGAGTGCAGGGCATGGGATAAGGTGCTCGAGCCGCAGGAAGCCACGTTCCAGCCAGAGATCCGGAAACACGTCCCGGCTGTGGGAGCAGCACGACAGTGGAACCCGTGGCCAGGGAGCTGGTAGGCTCTCCCGCACGGGAGGCATTCCAGAGGCAGCTGGGCACCCATCTGAGAGGGACACTGTAACTCGGTGTCATGCACTGGGAGGGGGGTTGGACCCTCTGGCCCCTTCCAGTGCTACTCTTCTATGATTCTGTGATCTGTATACCTGTGATCACAGAATGACCCAGCTACCACTCAATCAAGCATCTCAGCTGTGCATGCGCACAAGCCTATATCTGAAAAAGTTCTAAATTTCATGTTATGAAACAACATTAACAACAGGCTTGTAAGCCGGCGTGGTGCCGTGTGGATTAGGGGCCTGGGACCCTGGAGATCTGGGTTCCAGTCCCCACCCAGTCATGGAGCCGACTCGGTGACTTCTGGCCAGTCACAGTCCAACCTACTTCACAGGGCTGTTGTCAGGATAAGATTGAGAGGAGAAGACTTATGTAAGCCACTTTGAGTTCCTTGAAACAAAAAAGTGGGATATAGAACTAATAAATTAAAGTAATGAAAATTAAATTAAAATAAATAAGCTTTAACCAGGTAAATGTTTGAGGTGTCAAATAAAGCTAAGTTTAGTCCACTGATGGAGGCCAGTTTTGTGGGCATATCTGTTTATTCTGGAGGTTGTTCTTGTTCATACAACAAGAAACAGGAGAGAAAGCATTAAAGGCAGGCTGCTTCTAGCAGTGAGTGGTGTGAGCTATGAAATGTTAAGACTGCACTTTCCACTTCTTGCCATGAATTCAGAAAGCCAGTAATGTTGAGGCTCCATTAAATGCACATTTATTTAATTGTAAGTAACTAGTTGATTAATCAGTTAAACCACAGTTAATTAGTCTATTAATTAGTCACGGCTGGGCTGGGAATGCTAGGCCTTTTTGCTGCCTAAACTTGCATCCTTAACCTACTGAAAGCAAAGGAGTCCAAAATGTAGCAATTTGATACCCTGTCACCTGTTTTTAATAAAGAAGACCTTCAGATTCTAAAGAAAAGTGGAGTATATTTGAACTGGATAGATGGAGAAATAAATAAGGGGAAAGATTTAATGTGCAGTGTATGCTGTTTGAATTATTCTGGTATGGGCAGCAAAACAGGTTTTTAGGATGAAAGTGGGTTTATGGGGAGCCGCTGAAGAAAGCAGCATTTAGTTTGGCCAGAACAAGAGCAGAGCAAAGTAATGCCTCCCCCCATCTGGCCAGGAGCCCCCACCCAGTGACCACACCACCAGCCAGGGGGGGTTGGGAGCTGGGTTTGCTTCCGGGCAGCTTCCTGCAGCCCCCAGCCCCGGCTGAAGTGCCGCGTGCCAGCCACTGGCTGGGCTGGGCTGGGCTCGGGCACCAGGACCAGCCACCCTGAAACGAGCTGGCTCGTGACCCCCACGGCTGATCGAGCTGTGTGCGCCAGGTCCAGCAGCATGCGTGCCCCGTGGGCCTGGCTGATGGCCACGTCTCCTTCCCCAAGGGAACGCCCGCGATCACCAAGACGGCATTCACCTGGCCCGGGCGGCCCGCTCTCAGGCCCCAGAGTTCTTTAGGAGAGCAGCAGCCAGGCCAGGTGACACCATGCTGCGCCAGCCCAGGGTGGGGGTAGCCCAGTGCCCGCGCCCTCCCCCCGACTGCTCTCGTCACGCCCCTGCAGCTCCTGACGGAGATGAAGCGGGTGAACTTCAGCCTTCGCAACAGGTGGATCGATTTTGACCCCCGCGGGGATGCCTTGGCCGGCTATGATGTGGTCATGTGGCGGTGGGCAGGCCAGGCCTGGAACTGCAGCGTGGTTGGCTCGTTCAGCAGGAATCCAAACCGCCTGAGCATCGATGGGGACGCGCTCCAGTGGCACACGCAGGCAAACCAGGTGAGAGGCGGGCCTGCCGGGAAGCGCCTGGCTGCGGCGAGTGGTGGCGGAGGTGGTGCTGAGAAATCCCGCTGCTGGACAGGGCCGGCACCAAGGGCCAGCGGCGTGGGGGGCACTGCTCTGCCTCGACACTGGTCGCTCCTGCCTCTGCTCCTTGCTCCCGCCGGGGCGGTGCTGGGGAGGGGCCGGAGGGGCTGCATGTGGGCCATGATGTGAGTCACTAGGCTGGGGGGAAGGAGGCTCCCAGTGGGTGCCATGTCCAGGCCTTCAAAGTCCTGGCCAGCCCCAGGCGACAGGGCACTTTGCTCCCCCGGAGGGAAGGAAGTGGTCTGCCGACTTGCACAGTCCCCGCGTAACCTTCTAAAGATGGTCTGTTCATCCCAAGAGCCAGGACGCCTGGCTTGGGCATGCCTGAAGTTTCAAGACCAGAAATCTAAACGCCATTTACTTATAACGAAGTCAGAGAACGTGCAGAGTGGCGCTTGCTGTTTGCCACAGAGCAGCTCTGGCTGGCCCAATTTGTGGCTGGCCAGTGAAGCCGGCATGCTGGAGGACGCCCTGCTCGGGCCGCTTGGGCGGGCCACAGCTGGCCATGTCACCTTCCAGCTAAGGGATGAATTCCTCTTCCTCTGGCTCCTACTCACGGGGAACCAGAAGGGCTGCCCCGAGGGTCCCCTGGTGGAGGGCAGCCATCGGCAGCCCCCTCCATGCTTGACTGGCTGGGCCCCTGCCCCGGCTCCTTTCATCTGAGGAACTCCCCCACACCCCCAGGACATGCCAGCTGCAATGGACATCTGCTGCTTGTGATACACGCACTCCACCTCCCCTCGCAGAGGCTTCCCGAAAAACAGGCTGGCAGGATTTCGCTTGGTGTAAAGGCCTCCAAAACAGAGTCGGGGGTGGGGGGAAGAGCACCGAGGAACTGCGTCTTCCTGCCTTTAAGCAGCCAGGGCGGCACAGTGGTGAGAGCACTGGGCAGGGAGTCTGGAGGCCGGGGCCCTTGTCTCCGCTCAGCCAGGATGCTCAGTGGATGACTGGGCTGTTTCTCCACATAGCCCACCTCGCAGGGTGATTGTGGCATCTGAATGGAGAGAATGAGGACCTTGGAAGCCACCATGGCTTCCTCACAAGAGGAAGAAATGCAGGCTATGGAATGAACCGAGGCGCTCATCTCTGCCACGGGAAGCACACGGGAGACATCTGCTCTGCCCCTGCCCACCATGCGCCCGCTTCTCTCCGCCAGTGTCACTAGCCCCTCCCGTGCCTCCCCCCCAGTACATGGCTCCCGCTGGCTTGGTAGGCCGAGAGTCGGGGCCAGGGGCCAGGGGCCAGCAGCGCCTGCTGCCCTTCGCCTCGCCACCACCACCGTCGCCGGGGCCGTAGGCAGGGGCCGCCTGCAGTGAGGAAGGGGGAGACCAAGTGGGTTCCGCCCAGTGTTCCCCCACAGTGGGCGTCTGGGCCTTCTGCAGGCGCCCAGCCCTTGGGCCTGCCCAGCTCACAGCCGCGTCTTCCTGTCCAGGTCCCCGTCTCCGCATGCTCCGAGGACTGCGGCGTGGGGGAGCAGAAGGTGCCACAGGGCGTCCACCGATGCTGCTTCCACTGCGTGGGCTGCCTGCCGGGGACCTTCCTGAACAGAAGCGGTGCGTGAGGCGTGGGGCAGGGGCAGGGGAGGTCACATGGCAGCTGTTTTGCTCCAGGCATAGCCCACCTTTGCTCCAGGGGCACCCCGGTCCTCCTCTTCTCCATCTGAACCTCGTGGCAGCGGCCCTGTGCGGCCCTGGGCCTGCCTGGAGCCGGGGCCCTCATGGCCCAGCAGGGGGACGGGGCCCTTGTCTCCGAGTTCCAGCCCAGCCTCTGAACCAGGACACCAGGTGGGCCTCCCATTGCCATGCAGACCCAGCGGTTCCACGGGAAGCAGCCGCTGCGGGTTCGCCTTGGGCTGGCCCGAAACTTGACTCCCGCCTGGGCATGGCGGCAGCCTCCTCGCCTGGGGTTGCGCCTTGGTCGCCACCCGCAGCCCTCCTCCTGCAATGCAGACACGTGGCTGGCCAGCCCCACCGAGAGCCGCGCTTTGCCCCATCTCACTCCCTTGCCAGAGGGAGGCGGAGGTGGAGGCTCCGGGCTGCAGCTTTCCTCACAGCAGCGTGGATTGCAGAGCCTTTCATTTCCGGCCATTGCCCAGTCCCTCCCACAAGCTTTGAACTGCAGCTCCTTTCCTGGCCATTGGCCGTGTTGCCCAAGGTTAATGCAGGTCATAACCTCGAACTTCTGTAGGGTCTGGCGGACCTACACGTGGGGTACAGCATCAGACCAGACAGACCCCAGGCTCCAAGTCTCACACAGTCCTGAGGCCTACGGGTCAAAATTAGCCTCTCTTAGCCGAAAGGACCTCTCAGCATTAAAATATATTGAGACGGGGAAGAGTGGTCTTGTGGAGAAAAGGCAGGATGAAAATGCGAGGTATTTTTTAAAAATTATCGGTCAAAACCTGTTTTCCCCATGCCATACAGAGATGAAGGGAAACCAGCAAGGAATAAAATGAACCAAGGTGGTGGGAAAGGAACTAAATTTGCCCCCTTCAAGAGTCTTCTTGTTGCCCCATACAAAGGAACAGACACTTCAGCGCTATGCACTCGTCCAGCACGGGATGAGAGACGCCACCAGAATGACAAGGGTGCTGGGTGGCCCCAGGCCTTGGCCCAGGTGGTCTTTGGGGGCGGCCATGTGTCTTGCTCACACTGCAAAGTGTGCAGCTCAAGCGAATCAACCCGCACAGCTTCAGCTGCCTGCCGTGCTTTAAAACTGTTTCCACGCTCTTGAGATATCAGAGGGACAAGTTACACTGCCAGGGCTCTTTACAAAACTCGCTTGAGCGAAAACAGCTTTGCATTTCACCTCACTGAAGTCCTAGTGCCATCGTGGCCACAGGGACAGGCGGGGGCGGTTGCCTGCCACGGTCGGCGGGGCTGTGCGGACTCCAGGGCCCTAGTAGCAGCCCTGAATGAGAGAGGAGGGATTGCCCCATAGCCCAGATCCTCTGGAGCAGGGCGGTTTTTCCTCCAAGTCTGCACGAATTTTGGAAGCTGTCCTGATATGGAAATTCGGGACAGGCAACCCGTTTGGGGCTCTGAGCTTGTGGCCAGGACAGGTGATTCAGTGGGCCCTCCCCAGTTTGGCTCACATGCTGCTCTCCTGGCAGGTGGCCTCGGGCTGGAGCCTGCAGTCACACACCTGTATCCTGTGCAAGGAAAACCTGGCCAGGTGGTCCATGAAACAGGCAAGATGTCCTGCAAAATGTGCTTAGAGGAGCAGAGGCATGGAAATAGCCTGCAGCCAGGGAGGGCTGCTCTGTCCCAGCTGCAAGGGGACCAGGATCGGATGGAGGTGGGGGCAGCAGCAGCGGCCACTTCACCCAGCAGCCCTCCACCTCAGGCCCACTGATCCTTCAGCAGACCCTCACCATTCGCCGCATGTTTTGCAAGTGCCCAGAGCTGGGGCTGCCAGAAAGGGCAGTGCCGGAGGACATGAGGCCTGTCCATATGGGGGGCGCCAGCGCCCATCAGCCCCAGCCAGCGGAGCCAGAGGGGGATTGCAGCAGCTCCCCCCCCCATGTGTGTGGAGGAGCATCCTTCCTGGTCCCTGCTCACCAGGCACCCTCCTCCACCTGCAGGGGGCACTTCTACCCAAGTTTGCACCAACAAATGTGCGGCGTGCGCCATCACAGAACGAAGAGGTGTCTCTCCCCCGGTTTCCCCTCTCCTTTCATGCAGATACAGTGTCAGCTTCTCTTGTGAGACTAGACTAGACTAGACTAGACTAGACTAGACTAGACTAGACTAGACTAGACTGAGCCCCATCAACTGGTCCAGGCCGGTCAGGGCAGGCGTCTTGCCCACGTTTCCCTGTCTGAGGGTTTTGCCCTCAGACTTCAGGATGTTTCACTGACTTCCTTTTTCTTGTGAGGAACCCAAGGCACCTTGTCCCCTTCATTTTATCCTCACAAAAACCTCGTGAGGGAGGGGAGGCCAAGGGTCAGTGACTGGCCCAAAGTTACCCAGTGGAGCTGTTCACACACAGTGTGAATGGTCGCTGCACATGTGCTTTCTGTACCTCGTGTCCTGTATTCACAAGTTCAGGAGCTAACTCCTCACAGGCAGTCACTGCACCCCTCCATCCCCCCTCCAAATGTATGTTAGTCATGAAGTTGCATCCAACCCATCGCAACCCCATGGACAACACTCCTCCAGGCCCTCCTGTCCTCCGCCATCACCCAGAGTCCACCTAAACGCATGCCGACTGCCCCAGTGACTCCATCCAGCCACCTCATCCTCTGCGTCCCCTTCTCCTTTTGCCATCTATGGTTCCCAGCATCAGGGTCTTCTCCAGGGAGTCCTACCTTCTCATTAGGTGGCCAGGGTATTTGAGTTTCATCTTCAGGATCTGGCCTTCTAAAGAGCAGTCAGGGTTGATCTCCTTAGGGACTCGCAGGAGTCTCCTCCAGCATCACAATTCAAGGGCCTCAATTCTTTGGTGCTCAGCCTTCCTTATGGTCCAGCTTTCACAGTCATACATTGCAACTGGGAAAACCATTGCCTTGACTATACGCACTTATGTCGGCGGGGTGATGTCTCTGCTTTTTAGTATGCTGTCTACATTTGTCATAGCTTTCCTCCCAAGGAGCAAGCATCTTTTAATTTCTTGACTGCAGGCCCTGTATGCACTGATCTTGGAGCCCAGGAAAATAAAATCTGTCACTACCTCCTTTTCTTCCCCATCTATTTGCCAGGAAGTGAGAGGACTGGATGCCATGATCTTAGTTTTCTTAATGTTGAGTTTCAAGCCAACTTTTGCGCTCTCCTCCTTCACCCGCATCAAGAGGCTCTTTAGTTCCTCTTCACTTTCTGCCATGAGAGTGCCTATCTGAGGTTGTTGATATTTCTCCCAGCAATCTTAATTCCAACTGGTGATTCATCTAGCCCCGCCTTTCTCATGATGTGCTCTGCATATAAGTTAAATAGGCAGGGCAACAGTATACAGCCTTGTCGAACTCCTTTCTCAATTTTGAACCAATCAGTGGTTCCGTGTCCAGTTCACACTGTTGCTTCTTGACCTGCATATAGGTTTCTCGAGAGACAAATAAGATGGTCTGGTACTCCCATCTCTTTAAGAACTTGCCACAATTTGTTGTGATCCACACAATCAAAGGCTTTAGCATAGTCAATGAAGAAGATGTTTTTCTCGAACTCCCTGGCTTTCTCCATGATGCAGCGTATGTTGGCAATTTGATCTCTAGTTCCTCTCCCTCTTCAAAACCCTGCCTGTATTTCTGGTAGTTCTCGGTCCACATACTGCTGGAGCCCAGCTTGTAGGATTTTGAGCATAACTTTGCTAGCATGTGAAATGAGTGCAATGGTGCAGTAGTTTGAACATTCTTTGGCATCGCCCTTCTTTGGGATCGGAATGTAAACTGACCTTTTCCAATCCTGTGGCCACTCCTGAGTTTTCCAAATTTGCTGGCATATTGAGTGTAGCACTTTTACTGCATCATCTTTTAAGATTTTAAATAGCTCAACTGGAATACTGTCGCCTCCACTAGCTTTGTTGTTGCTCAGACTTCCTAAGGCCCATTTGACTTCACATTCCAGGATATCTGGCTCGAGGTCAGTGATCACCCCATCGTGGTTATCAGGGATGTTAAGCTCTTTCTTGTATAGTTCTTCTGTGTAATCTTGCCACCTCTTCTTAAACTCTTCTGCCTCTGTTAGGTCCCTGCCATTTTGGTCCTTTATCATGCCCATCTTTGCATGAAATGTTCCCTTCATATCTTCAATTTTCTTGAAGAGATCTCTGGTCCTCCCTATTGTTTTCTTCTATTTCTTTGCACTGTTCATTTAAGAAGGCCTTCTTATCTCTTCTAGCTATTCTCTGGATTTCTGCATTCAATTGGATGTATTTTTCCCTTTCACTTCCCTTCTTTCCTCAGCTATTCGTAAAGCTTCCTCAGACAGCCATTTTGCTTTCTTGCATTTCTTTTTCTTTGGGATGGTTTTAGTTGCTGCCTCTTGTACATTGTTGCGAACCTCCATCCATAGTTCTTCAGGCACTCTATCTGATCTAATTCCTTAAATCTATTTGTGACCTCTACTGTATATTCATCAGGGATATGATGTAGCTCACACCTGAGTGGCCTAGTATTTTTCCCTACTTTCTTCAATTTAAGCCTAAATTTTGCAACGAGAAGCTCATGATCAGAGCCACAGTCAGCTCCTGGTCTAGTTTTTACTGACTGTGTAGAGCTGCTCCATCTTTGGCTGCAGAGCACATAGTCAGTCTGATTTCTGTGTTGACCGTCAGGTGATGTCCATGTGTAGAGTCGTCTCTTGGGTTGTTGGAAAAGAGTGTTTGCTCTGACCAGCATATTCTCTTGTATCCCCCCTCCATCATATCCCCCCTCCAAATAGGGGGACATAAATCTCGCTCTCCCACAGGGGCCCCGGGTGTTCTCAGCGGGCCCCCCCCTGCTCCATGGAGCGCGCATTCCCCATTAGCGAAGCACAGCTGCCCCCGCTGCTCCGTCCTCCCCCCAGGCGCGCACCCTCCAGGACCTGGCCAGTTGCCCTCCTGCCCGCCTCCTGGCCAGGTGCACGGCAGCACAGTCGAGCACAAGAGGGGACAGCACACCTCAGGCAGGAAGCCGTGGAAGGCAGGCAAGGCGGGCCCCTCGGCAGCCCGGCCAGGAGGGGTGATCCAGCCAGGCACTGGGGGCGTTGTGCCTGGGGGAAGGCCGGGAGCCCGGGGCAGCCCGTCGGTGCCCTGCCCCCGGGCCACTCAGCAGCTGCCGGGCCAGCGGGGCAGTGGCAGGTGGCGAGGCTGCAGCCGCTCACGGCTGCCGCTGCCGCACGGCCAGGGCTCTCACCCCTTTGGCCCAAGGTCCGTTTGTCTGACAGCGAGAGACAACCAGCCGCCAGCACGATCCAAAGACCAAATCGAGGATGGCTCAACTGGGAGTCCTGCACTGGGCAGGGGCTGGCCCCGAGGGCCTGCTGCCTCTTCCCACTCTATGTTATGATTCTCCGATTCTGCAGAAAGCTCCTTCTTGAAGCATGCACATCAGCAACGGAGAGCGGCCTGCTCCTCCTTCAAAGAGGCCCGTGCCAGCTACTAAGAATCCACATGTTCTTCTACCTCTGAGCAAGCGCATCGATCCTTGGCCACTTGACCTATTCTGTCTGTCCCTTGATCCTGCCTTCTGTGCATAGCTAGCCAGACAAAGTAGCCACATTCCTCACTTTTCTTAGTGCTGGACAGATAGGCAGTCAGAGGCTAGCAATCGTCCTCCCGGTGCATGCCCCGTTTCTCATGCTAGAAGAGCATTACTGCAACTAAGAGTGGTGTTTTCACAGAGCCATAGAACAGTAAGAGCTGGAAGAGGCCATGGAGGCCATCGGGTCCAACCCCCTGCTGTTGCAGGATGCCAAGTCACACCATCCCAGCTTCTTTTTTGAACGTCTCCAGTGTGGGAGAGCCCACCACCCCTCCAGGCAGCTGGTTCCACTGTCGCATTGCTCCAGCAGCATTTAATTTCACCTGAACAATTTCATTTCAATTGTTCAATTTCAATTGTTCATTTCACCTGAGCAATTTCTGTTACACTAGTGTTACATTCCTGCACACAATTGTGAATTTCTGCCTTTCACTGTTGGGCAAATTTCACAGCTTGAGGGGTGCGCCTTCAGGTTGAGGCCTTGGCCAGCATAAAGAGTTCAGAAACAGGAAATCAGAAATCACTGCCAAACTTGCTGTCAGAAACAGGGACTACAGAGTAGCACTGCCACTGCTTTGCAGGGCCACGGCAGCGTGGAGGACATGAAGCACTGCTGAAGGGGGGAGGCCTTAGAACCAGCTGCTGCTTCTCTGTGCTGACTCGCTTCACTATACTTCCAAGGATTCGCACGTAGGGGCCAGTCAGTCCTTCCACGGCCCCCGCACTGCCAGGGCTCTCGCGCACTGCACGGGGCTGCTCCACAGTTCCTGCAGCTGGGTGCAAACGCCTCACAATTTCGAGTTTCTAGCCCACAGAATTCCTGGGGATCTGGGGGAAGCGACACCCATCACGGCACGGAGCCAGGTGTCCTCCCACGATAGCGGGCTGACGGAGCAGGCTTGGCCTGTGAAATGTGGCCTTCCGTGCCAGGCTAGCCACAGCCCCTCTGCTCCCTCTTCCCCCTCTCCCAGGTGTGCCCCTCCCTGGGCCCACGGCCGCATCCCCTCTGCTTCGTCTCCCTAGGCTGGCCTTTCCCCACTGGGGACGGCTTGATGGGCTACGGCCTGCCCCGTTCTCGCCCAGCTGGCTGGGAAGAGAGCGAGCTGCGGCAGCGCACCTGGAGGGGCAGAGCGGGACAGGCTTCTCTGTCAGCCCTTGCTCCCTAGGCCCCGCGCCGGCCCCAGGATGATGATGGTCCTGGGCAAGATGCCCTGCGCAGCCCCGCTCAGGGGGCCTCCCCTCAAGTTCCCAGCTCCCCGTGCTCCTCCTCCGCGTGAGGCTTCCTCTTTGCCTGGGAGCAGATCTCTTGCCCAGGAAAGCCTCCCTCCCTGCCTGGAAGCCTTCCTCACACCCCCACTGACTCGCATGCCATCATTTCCACAGATTCCTACACGTGTCAGAGGTGCGGAGAAGACCAGTGGTCCCCGGCCAGAAGCGAGACCTGCTTTGCACGCACCTCCGTGTTCCTGGCGTGGGATGACCACGTCTCGGTGGCCCTGCTGATAGCCACCACAGTGCTCACGTTGCTGGTGGCTGGGGCCATGGCCGTCTTCTTCAGGAACCTGCGGACACCCATCGTGAAGTCGGCCGGGGGCTGCCTGTGCTTTGCCATGCTGGGGTCTCTGGCCTTTGCCAGCACCAGCCTCTACTGGCACTTTGGGGCTCCGGACAGGGTGGCCTGCCTGGTGAGAGCACCGCTGTACAACGTCAGCTTTACGGTGTGCCTGGCCTGCATGATGGCCCGCTCATTCCAGATCGTCATCATCTTCAAGATGGCCGCCAGGGCCCCAGGCCTGTATGAGGCCTGGCGGAGGTACCACGGGCCTGGCCTGCTTATCGGGACCCTCACCGGCCTGCAGGGGCTGCTGAGCCTCCTCCAGGTGAGCACCAGCCCCCCTGCCCCATACAAGAACTACGAGGCCTTCCCAGACATGATTGTGCTTGAGTGCAGCCTGGGCGGGCTCACGGGCCTGAGCCTTGGGCTGGCCTACAATGGTTTCCTGGGTATTGCCTGCTTTGCCATCAGCTATGTGGGAAAGGACCTGCCCAACAGCTACAATGAAGCCAAGTGCATCACCTTCAGCCTCCTCATCTACTTTGTCTCCTTCATCTTCTTCACCACCACGCAAGCCCTCTACCAGGGCAAGTACCAAGCAGCCATTGGCATCGCCTCCCACCTCTCCACGCTCTCTGGCATTTTCGGAAGCTACTTTGCCCCCAAGGTCTATGTCATCCTCTTCCGATCTGAGCTCAACACCCACGAACAGTTCCAGATGTCCATCCAGATGTACACCAAGAGGATCAGCTCAGCCAGTTGAGGGGGAAGCCAGCAGAAGCTAAGAGGTGGCTGAGCTGAGGTGGGGCTTGCACAGGGCCTCATCCTGCCCAGAAGGAACAGAGGACTGTGTGGGACAGCAGAAGAGACTCCCAGGGGCTCAGGACGAATAGGGAAACAAAATTCTCCATCTCTGTGTCCCAGGCACTGGGTCTGACATGGGACCACAGCTGTGCCCGTTACAGTGTGGCCACCCCCAACCTTGTGGGATGTATCAGAGTTCCAGGGGGGCAGTTTCTGCAATGGGCAGCACTGAAGGCAAAAGGACCAGGGTCAAAAAAGACAAAGCAGAAACAGCCTCCTCCTCAGCATATTTAAGTGCAAAGCTATCAGGCAGCCAATTTTAAAAGAGGAGTTCCAGCCGTCAGAAGGGTGGTGGGGGGCCTTACGCCAAAGCGGATAAAATGCCAGGGGACCGGCAGTTGGAAGCAACAGGCCATGGCCATGGGGAAACCTTCAATGGGGCCCTGGTTCCCCGGGTCCTCCTCTGCCAGGTGGGCAGGACTGGGAGCTGTGGCATGATTGCCCTCCCCGCTGGGCCTCTGGTCGGCCACTCTATGAACAGAAGGCTGGGATGGAAGGTTTCAGATGGAGGCACCGGGGCTGTAGCGGGAAGGGCATTCTGCGTGATTCTACAGGGCTCTTCATGGGGCCTCTTGCGGACGGCCCTAACGGGCTTCTGCCAGCACGAGCAGGGAGCTGGGGGACGTGAGGCTGCGGTCCCGTGCCCAAGCGGCATGCGATGCTTGTGACGGAGCTTGTGAACTGGCCAGGCGGGTGGGCCAGATGGCTTGCAAGGGCCCCGCCTCTCCTCCAGCCGTGCTCGGTGCGATGGCCTGGAAGCACTCCCCTGGCGGCCTGGTGCTCGGGGCACGGGCGAGGCTGCAGGTAGCAAGCGCTGCGTGCTCCGTGCAGCCGACTCCCAGGGTTCGCCCTGCAAGCTCAGGGCAGTTTGCTGCAGCAGCTCTTCGCAGCCTGCGCCCTCCAGAAGAGGAGGACAATAACGCCCTCCGCATGGGGAGGGCCCGGCTGCGACCAGCAGTGGGATGCCGTAGAGTCAGCAGCGTCAAGGAACACCGCGAAAATCGCTCCTAGTCCGCCCGCATGAAGCCCGCGTTGCTGTCTCCGGCCTCGCAGTTCCCTTCATCGATTTCTTCCTTGCTCCCGGAGCTGCCAGAATGCGAGAGCCGCGGGAACCTCCCAGCGCGGGGCTGCCGCGTGACTCTTCTTGGCCGGTGGACGCTTAATATCGGGCTAGCGCTCACGAATCGCCCGATTTGCTCCGCGCGCGCGTGGCTTTGTCGCTTTTCCGGCTCCGATCCTACTTAGGCAGGAGTAGCTTATCCGGGGAAGCCCGGCGAAGCCCGCGCGAGGCCGGCCGTGCCCAAGCCTTGCCCCGCCTCCTCCCGGTGGCCCTGCCCCTCCTCGCCCGCGCGTGACGTCACGACGCTGCTGTCGGGCCAAGATGGCGGCGCTTCGGCCCCTCGCGCCGTAGGGGCGGGCGGGGGGCGGAGAGGAGCTCCGAGGTGAGGTAAGAACTGCGGGGGTGGCTTTTTGAAAAGCCTGCCCCCTCCCAGAGAAGGGGGCCGGGTGGCGGGAGCCCAGAGCTGAGGTGAAGGGGGAGGTCTGTGTGCCCCTCCCCGGGAAGGGAAGGGATGGGGCTGGGGGCGGCCTTTCCCTTTACCTGCCTGCCCACCCGAATAAAGTTAAGGTCTAGGGCGACCGAGGTGAGAAATGGGGGGCTGCCTGCCCTTTTCCGCACTGCCGGCCCCTTCCCCAGGTGCCGGGGCGGGGACAGCACTGCCGGGGCGTGGGGGCCTGCTGCCCCCGCTGGGAGCCGTTCCCCAAGGAAGAGGGCGGGGGGCTGCGTGTTCGGGCGCAGGTAGCTTCGCGTGGCCCGGTCAGGCCGCCTGTCGAGCGGGAGCGATCCCAGCGCGACCTTCCCCGGTGTGCGACCTGCAGGAACGTCGGACTATAAGCCCCACCATCCGCAGCCGGCGTGGCAATGTTGGGGAAGGCTGCGCGAAATCTTCCCCGAAGGCTGGCAAAGGGAGAGAAGTGCCCCGGAACTTCACGGGTCCTGGGGGGGGGGTTATGCTGGCGGGGGATCATGGGAGTTGCAGTCTGACAGGTCTGGAGGCTGGGGATAGCCCTTTTCCTTACGACCACCCTCATGCCCCCATCTTCCTTAGTTCCTCCCTGCTGCTTCTGCCCCACATTGGCACTCATTTCCAGAACAATCCCTGATGTTTTTACTCATAAGCCCGACAAGGCTCAATGGGCTTATTCCATGCAGCATATTGGCTTTTCTCGGTGCAGGGCTGCAGGAATTTATTGCAGTGACATGGATTGTGCTTATTATCTTTTGAAATTTTTCTTAGGGCTAAAGTACTGGGCTGCCTTTGATTTTTATATGGGGAAAGACTCAGCTTCATGCTACGGATGCCCTGTTGTCTACTGATGTTCTGGAAAAGGGAACACATAACAACCAAATAATTTTTGTTTGGTGTTGGCCACCTTCTCTTCCATGCGGGAGGCTGCTTAAGAGCCTCAAATTAACTCAGAAGTTTTCTGTTGCAATATGAAAACTAACGAACATAGTTTTCTTTTTGATTTTAATCTGGAGAAGTGGGCAAGAGAAGGCAGATGTTGAACATGCTGGCCCTCTCTGTGTCCCCCATACTAATTTGTTCATTTCTAGGTTAATTTTATTCAGCTTTATACTTTTTTGTGGGGGGGGGTGTCTGAAAGTGCAGTATATTTCAGTTGTGATTTTCAATTGATGCAGTCAATTAAAAACTTCAGTTCAGTTCATGCATACTCAGGGCCTCTGCCATCTCTTACTCTCTTCTGTGTGTTATTTGCACATACCTGCTTGTGCTTCTGTCATCCCTCTCTGTGTGCTTTGTTGCATTTTCTCATCCTGGTTTGTTTTTAGGCAGGTAACACTGTTGCACCTTGTTTGTTTATTTATTTTTTAATGAGGGAGGAGTTGTGGGGGAGCACCCCTGCCCCTCCGCAGCGCTCCACCCGCATTGTGTCTCTTTCCTTCTCTTGTAGCCGACCATGGAGGGCTCCTTCGTACAGCACAGCGTGCGTGTTCTGCAGGAACTCAACAAACAGCGGGAGAGTGGGCATTTCTGTGATGCCACCCTGGCAGTGGGCAGCTTGGTGTTCAAGGCACACTGGAGTGTCCTGGCGTGCTGCAGCTCCTTCTTCCAGGGCATGTATGATGGTGCTTCCAGCAAAATCATCCTCCCAGAGACCTTTGTGGAGATCTTCGCACTGTTGCTTGACTACTTCTATACGGGGCACTTGGCAATTACCCCAGAAAACTGGGAGAAGCTTCTTGAGGCTGCCAAGGAGCTCTGTGTCCCTGAGGCAATTAAGCTGTGCCAGGAATTCCAGCCTGGACGTTTGGATGATGGAGATCAAAATAGCCAGGTTTCACTTGGAAAAGACCTTGGTGTCTGCTCCAAAGCACTGGTGGACGCACAGGGAGAACCTGTCCTTGACTCCGTGCCCCAAAGTAACTCAGTCCAGGAAGCTCACCAGAGCCCCTGTATCTGGGGAAACAAAGTGTCCCAGGGACAAAGAGAGAGCCCTTGTCTCCTTCGAGGAAGGTTGAAAAGGGCTCCCAAAACAAACACACTGAGTGATGCAGGTGAAGTAAAGAACACCCTGGAATGTAAGGAACTAAGGCCACTGAAAAGAGGAGCTACCGAGGACGCAGGCGCCAGTATTGAGGTGGCGTGTGGAGTAATGTGCTAACTAGGGCTTGCGCCTTTGTCTGCTACAAATGCATTTCTTTTAGAGATCAAAGGTGCCTTAAAGCGACGAGAAGTGTTGCTGGAGATTCAAGCAGCAGAACAAGTTTGCGGCTTATCTGTGCAAGAGCAGAAGGATGGTTGCTCACAGCAGAGCTTGGGTCCTGGAGGATGTGGGAATTGGGGCAGGGGGGTCTGGGGTTGGTGCATAGTCCATTATTTAGAAATTTAGAGTAGTGGAGAGCCAGCTTGGGAAACTGGTGTTGTCCACAAACGTGGAATTTGGTCCTGGCATGCACAGTAGCCAATCGAGCACTCCAGGGGTGTGAGGTGGAAAAAAAGGTCTGCAGAAAAAGGTCTCCATGCACAAAGTAGGCAAAGTGGAGCCCTGAGGAAAAACAGCTACTCTTTTATCACCCGTTACAGTAATGTGAACAAGCACTAACACAGCCTTGTCCTTCGGGGTCGTGGAACTGCCTCCTTCCTAAGCCCACGTGTGAGCACATTGGAGGAGGGCAGGGGGCTCTTGCCTGCCCTTCACTAGAGAGCCCTTTCTGTATCATTCCGTGTGCTTTGACATGTTGCAAAGGGTTCTGGGGAAGCACAGCTTAGCTTGGAAAGCTTGCAGCTCTTCCCTGCAGCTGTGCTTTTCAACTGAGGAATTCTAGGGCAGATGGAGTGACACATTCCAGGCATTTGGTCCACCTTTTGCTGGTTTTTAGGTGTGGAACTCCTAATCAGCTTTCCATGATCTGTCTAAAATTGATAGCTACCATACTTCCAAGTGAGGAATTGTACACTTTTTTGTGAGCTGTACTGAACTTTCACATTTTAGCTGAATGCAGGGTAGGTGCAGCCTGAAGCTGGAGCCACTGCTGCCTTGCATTCTTACGACAAGTATTCCATCAGTCTGGAATGGCTTTTGGAGGACTAGTAACCCAAGTCCAGGTTTTGTTCCACCAGATAGACTTAGGAGGGTATTGAAGATGCGATGCTCTTAACTTTTGCATCCTTTCCTTCATCCTTGCCTCCAGGTTGTCAGAAAAACTACAGGGATTAGTTCTGGAGGCTATTACAAGAGCCTGAAGGTTGCATGCAGTATTTGCCATTGACCTGATACCTGGGGATTTTGAATAGGACAGTGCCCAAGGTGTTCACTGTGGAGGGTTTCTTTCCGTAATAATTCTGTGTACATGCAAACTTGCACAGAGGGTGTAGGACAACCAGAGAGCTGCTACTGCAATCTCTTCTTGTTTCCCCGATACTAGTTCAGCTATACTTGCAAAAACAAACACATCAAATTAGAGGTGGGAAACTTTTGGTTCTCCAGATAGTTCAGTGTACCGCTCCCTTCAGCTCCCTAGCCAGCAGTCAGTGGGGAGGATGATGGGAGTTGTAGGCCAAATCACACAGAGGGCCAAAAGTTGATCCCAGTGTGCAGGGCAAACTGTTTTAAAATCCATAATCCACACAGGCTGTAGACCTTTGCTGATGGGAGCTGGAAGCACAAAACATCCACAGAGCAGTTTGGGAATGCTGGTCTCAGTGAGCTGCAGCAGCTGAACACAGCTCTATTTCTCTTCCCCCAGCCCTGACATCCTGTCTGCAGCACTGCATGTTTATCCCTCTTTTCACTTCTGTCGCGTAATATGTATTTCAGAATCATCCAGGTATCATCTATATTATGTATTAATATAAACTGTTCTAATATTGCAGGTGTAATTGGCATCCATTCATTGTTACCAATGAATGGATGAAAATACTTTCCAGTGGAAGAAATAAAACATTGCAAAATTTCCCAGCACAGATTACTGGGAACAATGAACTATGTTGAGTTTATGTGCATTTTGACTGGACATGCTTGTAAGGGGACTTTGGGTAGCTTTAGTGGGTTTCTGTTTAGGCCGTCCTCTGTTTCTAACCCAGGTGTCACCTGTGTAAAGGGTTAAATGGCGCAAGTTGCACATATATGCATTTATTTGCTCTGCACCAAAGCATATTTAAAAACATGTTTTTCTCATAGTTGCCAGGTGAATATTGATAGAACATTTGTAACATTTTGGCCTATTCCTCGGATTCTAAAACAAATCCAAGAAAACTGTGCAGTATTCAGCTGCATCTTCATTTGCAAAGTAACAATAATGTCCAATAATACTTAATGCAAATATTTTTGGATTTTACTCGATTTCCTAACAGTTGGTTTACTGGAAGGATTGTAACTGTGTATTTTTTTCTTAGAATTGTACTAAATGAATGGTTTAAATACTTACCCCCTTTTGGCCATGTATGTAGGATTTGGATTTGGTGGTAGTGGTAAAAGAGACCAGGCTTTGGTGATGCACAGAGTTAACTGTCCTGTTTTATCACAGCAGGAAGCAGAGAAGGTCCTGGTTTCAAATGACCTTCCTGCTGAAGATGGTGGAGGAGGAAAAAGGAACAAGGAGACAGATGAGGATTATATCCCTGGGAAGAAGAGCATGAGGTCCAAAAGGAGAGCTCACTTGGCCAGGAACTCCAGTGGCTCCAAGGCCACCGGGAATGGCAACCTGTTGGAAACGGGGGCTCTGCGAAGCCGCCGAGGCACAGCTGATCCAGTTGAATGCCCCACCTGCCATAAATCATTCCTCAGCAAATATTATCTCAAAGTGCACAACAGGCAAGTTCTTGGTTCTTCAGCTGAGGGGGAGATTGGGGCATGCAGCCGTCTGTCCTCAGGACTCGGGCACCCAGAACAGGAAGCATGGATGTTCCAAGCGCCTTGCACAAACCCAGGCCTCCCTGCAGGAAGGAAATAATGGCTTTCCCATTGCTTGCCCCCTTTTTAAGCCGAATAAGTGGGACACTTCCCATGCGCTTTGCTGAAAGACTCCCTTGGTTCTCTTGTAATCTCTGGGTACTTTCCCTGCACCGAGTGAAGCACAGGAATGATTATGGGTCAGGGATACTACTGGGAGAAATGCATAACGTGGATTGCACCCCTGACAAGGCTCCATTCAGTTCTATGAGCTGTAGGGAAGGAGTTGGTAAGCGAATGCTGCAGGGCCAGAACTGGTCCTGGGCTCCCCCAGAGGCTGGGAGCAGGGGTGTTCAGCCATGAGAGTGGCCAGCAGTGGATTCTTTCAGCCACTTGCCCTTCAGTAACAGTTGGCTGCTGAGTAGCATCGTTACGAGTTTTTGCACCTAGGATTGGGATGGGAAGGAAGGAATTAACCCAATGTCCCATACTGGTTTGTGAATTGTTCAGAGCTTTGCTGGCTTACTGTGTGCTGTTGCACAGCCATGCAACGTCCCCCCAGTCTGTTTGCTGTTTCCACAGTGGGTCAGACCTACCTCCCCCACCCCTTATTACCTGTAGGAAGCACACTGGAGAGAAACCCTTTGAATGCTCGAAGTGTGGGAAGTGCTACTTTCGGAAAGAAAACCTTTTGGAGCATGAAGCCCGGAACTGTATGAGCCGTTCGGAGCAGGTATGTGGGGACAGGGAGCTTGTAACTGATTCTGGAAACAAAAGACATGCTTGCACTGAAGGAGTGTCTCTGCCTCCCTGAGCTCTTTTGGCTAGCTGAGAGTCAAGCGGAACGCTCAGGAAGGGGGACCATTTGAGGGCTGGGTGATCTCTTAGCAGTGGAGTTCAACAGCGAGTTTGCAGCAGGTCCCTTTCTCAGCTGTAAGCAGCCAAGGTCATGGAGACCTGGTCACGGCCCACCAGAAGATGCACCAGAAGAGGGCCTGAAGCTGGTGGAGTGCCAGGGCTGTTAGATGGGAAGGCCAAGTTCTCTTGTGTGCCTCTGAGCCTGGGACAGCAGTTCCAGGAGGATGGCAAATCATAAGGTGAAATGGAGTCAGCACAAGGAAGAGCTGAGGTCACTAGCTGGGCAATCAGCCCAAGGGAGCAGAAAGCTCAGAAGCTGCCATCTTGAGTGGGGATGGTCAATCCTCGAGGAGGAGGGGCTGCAGCTTGGTGATGGAGCCCCTGCTTTGTATGAATCTCCATGGCGAAGTTGGGCAAAACTCCTGCCTGAAACCACGGTGGTGAGTGATAATTGCAGTCGGCATGCAGCCTTCCCCAACCTGATGCTCTCAGTGCAGTCTGGGGGATTCTGGGAGTTGTGGTGGAACTTCTGGAGAGTTTGAGGCAGGCTGGTATAGAAACTCTGAGCTTGATGAATTCGTGCTCTGACTCCATATGCAGCAGCTTCCTCTGTTCTTAGGCCTGTGACTGGTTCCTGGGTCAGGTTAGAGGAAACCTTGGAGCTGCCTGACAGGCTGGGGCGCAGTGCTGCAGCCCAGAAGAGCTGTGTGGGCCCGGGGGGCTTCCTGCTGGGGCACTGGTGCAAAGCTCTGGAGGCTCCCCATTTGAATCTACCAGGTTCTGGTTTTGCCTAAATTAAACTTCAAACAAAGGTCTGCGAAGTTAGGGATGGAATGCATAATCCCATAGAACTGGAGCATGATTAAAAAACCCCCTTGATCCAGGCCTTTTCTGGCCTTACTTAAAAATCACAGGCTCACAATTTTGAGAGAAGCAACTCGATTAGTTTAGAACATGGTTTTATAAACTTGAGGATAAGATATAGTAACATTATTATTTCAAATTATTATATCTGTTTGCAGGAGGACGTAAGAAAGCAATCAACAAATGATGGTTGTGGGTTGTTTAACCCATGAATTAGCAAGATCATACTGTCTCTTCTGCTTTGGGAAACAACCCAGGAATAGTTTAATGGGGTAACTGAACCTGTAACTCTGGGTTGTTGAGGGACAAACAACACAGAGTTTTAAGTCAGCAGCAAGCCATGGGTTATTATTATTAAAACATTTCTATTTGGAGTTTTTCAACCCCTAGTATTTCGGCTTTGTACAAGGTGTCCCTGGGTTGTTAACTGAAGCAGTGAGTATTCAGGAGGCTGTGCAACAATCTTGTGATTTAAACACCTCGTGGATTGTGATTATGTGTGACCTGGGCCGACAGGGTAGTTGTGAGGGTAAAATAGAGAGGAAAGGGGCCATGCAAACCATGACCCTTGGGGTCCCTGAAGGGAAAACGGCAGAATATAAACGTAAGACCCCTTTCTAGGGCAGACATTCTGTTGCTTTTTCATTGCAGTCCATGTTAGCATCTTCTTCCAGAGCAGTCCAGATATATCAGCATCTACAGCAATTCCTCTTTCCTGCTTCCTCAGTATCTACATTGTCTTCAGCATTGGACTAAATGTCAAGATCAGAAATTGGCCATGATTAAGATTGAACCGGATTTCTAAGTAGTCAGCAAAGAGGTGACCCTCTGTGCAGTTGTCCTCTGTGTTCATCCATTAATGGTCACTATCGAACCTGCCGGCTCTGGGGTGTCGGGTGGACCTAGCAGAGCCAAACCAGTGTCCTGGCCTTTTGTCTGTGCTCCCTTGAGACTTGCTTTCCTTTTCCCTCCAGGTTTTCACGTGTTCGGTCTGTCAGGAGGTCTTCAAGAGGCGGATGGAGCTGCGGCTGCACATGGTGTCCCACACCGGAGAGATGCCTTACAAGGTCTGCCTTTCTGGCTCTGGAACATGCAGTGCCAAGGATTCCTGCTGAACATTGCAGTTGGACAAGATCTTGGTCTTTCAGTCTTTCACTGCTTTCATGAGCTGGTTCAGAAATGGCTTTGGGCAAGCGGTTCTGTTGTCCCGTGTCCATACACTGTTTTTCCTGGAGCTGTGGGCATCCTGGTGTGTGTGTGGGGGCGGGGGGTGGAGTGTAGGGCTTCAGGAGGGCCTTAGGTTGGGGGAAGGTGGCATGCAGAGGCTCTCAGTCAGGTGGGCCTCCTGGAGTGGAGGCGGGTGCCCACCCAGGCTGCTTGTCTGTTTTTCAGTGCTCATCCTGCCTCCAGCAGTTCATGCAGAAGAAGGACCTGCAGAGCCACTTGATAAAGCTGCATGGCGCCCCCAAGCCGCACGCGGTGAGCCCAGGCTGCTCTGGACACTGGGGCGGTGGAGGGCTAGAGCAGGAGGGGAAGCTGCGAGTGGCTTCCTGAGTGCCACAGGGCACAGAGGCAGCAGAGGAGTCGGGGCTGGCCTCGGGCTGCGTCCAGCTCTGGAAGCCACATGCTAGGAAGGGTTCAGGTAGACGGGGAGGCGGGAGGCAGTAGGACTCGTCCGGTGACTGGGAACTCCGCCCCGTGCGGAAAGAAGGCAGGCATGGGTGGGGCTGACCCTTGCGAGGTGAAGACTGGCTGGGGGGCGGCTGCCTGTTCGCAGTCATTTAGAGTCCAGGGCTGACGGCGCAGGGAGGGAGATGGCAGCCAGCCACTGGGAGAAACCTCCTGCCTAGGGAAGCGGGGGCTCCCTGTCCCTGGGGGTGTTCAAGCAGAACACCCCCAGTGTTGTGCACAGCGGGTGGGACCCATAGGCTGCCATGGCCCTTCCCCGCTAGTTCTTCTGAGCTGACAAGGAACAGGCATGGGGTGCTCAATGGCTGCCATGGTCACAGGGTCCCTCGGCCCGCTGGCCGATGCTGTCGCCCCCCATCTGATGTGCTGGTCTGAGCCACCCCTGCTGCGAGGCTGCCGGGCCAGCTGGGGCCCCCTCTCCCTCGGGGCTCTCCCTGATCCCAGACCGCCGCCTCCCCCTGCAGTGCCCAGCATGTTCCAAGTGCTTCTTGTCTCGGACGGAGCTGCACCTCCACGAGGCCTTCAAGCACCGCGGGGAGAAGCTTTTTGTCTGCGAGGAGTGTGGCCACCGGGCCTCAAGTCGCAACGGCCTGCAGATGCACGTCAAGGCCAAGCACAGGTGAGTGGGAGGTGCGTGCGTCCGGGCTGTTCTCAGCAGCAGCTGGGTGGCTTGCTCGGCTGACATCCCTCTTCCGGTCTCTACAGGAATGAGCGGCCCTATGTGTGTGAATTCTGCCAGCATGCCTTTACCCAGAAGGCCAACCTTAACATGCATCTTCGGACCCACACGGGAGAGAAGCCCTTCCAGTGCCACCTCTGTGGCAAAACATTCCGCACGCAAGGTACAAGGGCTGCTGCTCCTGGTGCTGTGGGCCCCCCCCCCCTCCCCCGGAGGCTGAGATCAGCTCCAGTAGCAACTTCTGCTCTGGGATGGAGCTTCAGAGGAGCCCAGCTGAAACAGCAGCTGACTTCTCTCTCCCTGAATATTTCACCCCCAGGATCACACTCTCAAAGAACCATGTACCAGCCCACTTCCTCCTCCTCCTCATCACCATCTTCTCTCTACTAACCCACAGCCTAAGCTCTCTGGCAGTTCAGAGAGGAGGGAAAAAAGCAAAGCTTGGGCACCAGTTGTTAGTGCCACGGTTCTTTGCACGTCCCTTGCAATCTCTGGCCAATGAGTGGGCCAGGCTGGCCGCCTCTTCGCTGTGATGCTGGTTGGAGGCTGTGGGCATGGCCTCCCAGAGCTCCTCTCCTGTGTGGGTGGCTCATGGGCAGAGCTGGGAGGGGGCATCAGGCCCTTGCGATGAGGGGCGCAAAAGAGCTCTACCATCATCTGGCCGCTTTCTTCCCCTGCATGTGTGTGTGACCAGCCAGCCTGGATAAGCACAACCGGACCCACACGGGGGAGCGCCCCTTCAGCTGTGAGTTCTGTGACCAGAGGTTCACCGAGCGAGGCCCGCTGCTGAGGCACGTGGCCAGCCGGCATCAGGAAGGGAGGCCCCACTTTTGCCAGATCTGTGGGAAGACTTTCAAAGGTAAAGGAGCGTCTGAGGCGGAGGCTAACGCAGGGGCTTGTTCACTGGCCCAGAAACCGAGGGACCACGGGGGGGCAGCTGGAGGAAAAGAGTGGGGAAGGCCGGCCTACCTGGGCGCAGGAGGAGACGGGAGCAGAGCCACGCAGAGCTGGGCTTTGGCTCAGCATGAGGGGACACTTCCTGAGCAGCCCGGGCCTCCTTAGCCAGAGGACTCTGGGGCGGTGGGCCTATCGGAACCCCACCTGTAAAAACAAAACTTAAGCTGGGTTTCAGGCACTTTTATGCAAGCACAGAACAAGCCTACTCTGGTGCATAAATTCAGTAGCTGCAGTTTTCCAGGGTGGCTGACATCACTGGACATCACTGAAGAGGCAGCGTTTTGCAGCCGTTTGAGTGTATTTTGCCTTTACTCAAAGCACTGATCCGTGTGCAGGTGTGAAACGTGCCACACGAGACTGTAAATGCCGCTTCTCGGCAATCATGTCATGGTTTAGGTGAACCGCACCTCTTTAAAATGACAAATTCAGTGTCAAAAATTTATCAGTAGAAATGTGTGCTGTTCTCTGAATGTACCCTCTGATCCAGTGATTATTAAATATGTACTTAATTTTTAGCCCTCCCTTCCTACTAGGCACTTGGGATAGTATGTAAGCCCCCCTCCCCCCACTTCTCTCACTTTCAAAACTCGCCCCTTGAGATAGCCTTGGCTGGCCAGAGCACCGCTTGGAGGCTCCATGGGTCAATGGGCACTCGAACTCAGCTCTCCTGCCCCTCTCTTGCATCCCAGATGTAGTGCTGGTGATAGTGCCTTTTATTGATTTTGTTTCGATACCACCCGATAGTCAAAGGCCTGTGGATGTTCCACCAACGTTCTGGCCACTGCTGTATACACTGTAAAGCTGTGCACTCTACACATTAGGAAGGCCCTTGGTTGGGGAAAATTGCCCCAGGTTTTGCCCCCAACTCTGCTTCTGGTGCCCATTCATTGCCAGTTGTGTCAGCTGTCTTGGGAAAGAGCAGCTATGAGACCCTCACCTCAGAATGGGCATGCCTGCCCCGGTTCCATGTGGGCATGAGGTTCTCTGCATGCCTGTTTTCCTGTGCAGCTCTCTGGCAGAGCCAGGATGGAGAAGTCCAGTCTTGGTGCTCGGCTGGTCTTTCCTTCAAGCGTGTGTGTGACAGGAGCCTGGTTTTGCTTTCCCAGCTGTGGAGCAGCTGCGCGTCCACGTTCGCAGGCACAAAGGTGTGAGGAAGTTTGAATGCATGGAATGTGGCTACAAGTTCACCCGGCAGGTATTGTGTTCTGACTGGCTGTTCTACGTGCTTTGTTCTGCCGCCGTTTCTTCTCTCTGCCCCTTTCCTCCTTGCCTCTTCTGACACAGCCTCCACTTAACTTTTCCGTAAAATATGTCCTGACCTTTCTTACCCTGAGGCAGCCAGCATTCCTTCAAAAGTGCCCTGTCGTAACAACAGGTGGTACTTCATAGAAGACCCAAGGTCATGGTTGCACTAGCCTTGCCAAGCAGGCCAGCGCCATCATCCCTGTTCTGCTGACCTCAGGCTGACTCAGCCTGACACACAGTGCCCTCTTCACGTACGGCTCAGCCGCCATCCTGCCCACTCGCCCGGCCTGTTGGAGCTCGCAGGGAGTCTCCCTCCCGCCTGCGCAGAGTTCAGGTCTGTCAGCTGTCTCCCCCTTGCTATTTTAAAGGCCCATTTGAGGCGCCACATGGAAATCCACGACCGGGTCGAGAACTACAACCCCCGTCAGAGGAAGCTGCGGAACCTGGTAATTGAAGACGAGAAGGCGGTGGTTGTTGCCCTGCAGCCGCCCCACATCCTGGAGGTGGGCTCTGCGGAAGTCATTGTGGAATCCCTTGCCCACAGTTCCCTGCGCGAGGAGCTCCCGGAACAGAGACTTTGCCCCAATGAGAATTTTACATCCCCAGAAGTCATTGAACAATCGCTTATCATCACCATCCCTGATGACTGTGAAACGTAGCATTGTGTCCCTGTAAAGCCCAGTGCCCAAGAAAGGTAAGCGGAGTTCCATCTTCTTGTGGCCCATCCGTGACTCTAGCCAGCACAATGAGCTCTTGTGAATTCAAGGGAGGGACAGACAGGTAACTCGCAAGGTCCTGCTTCTTTCTCCCAGTGAGCTGTTTCAGCAAGGAGAAAAGGGCTTGTGCACACGGCAAGACCTGTTCTCGGAGATGTTCCTGTGGATGCAGGAAGGAATTGAAGGCAGGAGCATAAACTCTCGCTTTGCATACAGAAAGTCTCGCGTTTAGGTCTGGCATCTCCAGATAAGGTTGGAAAATCCTCTCTGAAACCTTGGAGAACTGTTCTCAGTCCGCAAAGGCAACCTGAAGCGCCCCCCCCCCCGCCCCAATGTATTGGACTACTAAAGAGGGGAGGTCTCTTCTGTGCAGAACCCCCTTCCAGAGAGGCTCACCTGGCACTTGCATGGTCATCTTGGACCGAGGAGAAAGAGGGCTTTGTTAGTTGCCAGGCTTCCTGGTCATTCAGTATTGGTGCATTTTTAGATTGTTGCACTGCTCTCCATTTTATTTTTTATAGGTTTGAATATTATGGCTTATTCTATTATGGTTTTGATTTTTCTTTTGCGAGTGCCCAAACAACTTTGTTGGACAGCAAGCAGTATAAATAAAATATAAATCCTGTTTTCTCTGTCCGCTCACCAGGCAAGTTGGTGCTGCTAGTTTTATTCTCTCTACCGTGCTTCTCAGGGCCAAAGTCTTCCCAAGGAAGCTCGCCGCAGTAAAGTTTTGCAGAGTGAAAATGAATTCAACAGGAACAATTCACAGAAACAACAAACACCAGCAATACAACACCTGGCCTGGACAGTGGCCACAGAGGGTTCAGTGCTGTCACCTGGGGAGAACTGTCACAGACGCTGTGGGGTGCAGTCCAGGTGTGGGAAGAGCAGCACTGGGGGCAGTGCCTGGTGCCACTTGCAAAGGCGGCTGTGCCAGAGGGTGCCTCTGCCGGTGAGGAAGCGTGAGCGGGGCTCCTCTGTCCAAGGGCAGAAGGCTCAGCCTGCTCACTGAGACTCAAACCACGCAGGCGCTGGGGAGGGCACCCACAGCTTCTCCAGGTAGTGCTGGACAGTCCTTGCCTGAAATCCCTAAGTCTTTGCTGCCAGTCTGGTCGGCGTCAGAATATGTGCCTGGACAGCTGTCAGGCAGACCTGCATAATTAGCAAAGCTCCTGTCTGGCAGGAACAGCCACGGGTCCCGAGAGCCACAGCAGCAAAGCACCTCGCACAGCCCTGCAAGCCAAGCCAGAGCAGGCAGGGCTTTTCCCTCCCTGCGTGAAATTCCCATTGCTGGTGTGGGAGACACACTGCCGTTCCTGTTGACGGGGCAGTGCCACGGGCAGAGGTGCAGTAGGGGTAGCTTAGCTCTTTTTCACCTCTTAAAAAAGATGCCAGACATTGGTTCGGAAGAGGCAAAGAGCCCTGGCCGGCCTGCATGGTGTCCAGAGCAGCACAGATGGTGGCCCCGTGAAGCTCCTGCCAAGCGCCCCAGGGCCAGGCCGAGCCCACACTATGGGTTGCAGGAACCTGTTCTCAAGCTACTGGAAACCTCAGTGGGGCACCTGGTGACTTGCTAGATGAACGGTGCATGAAATGGGGAGTGGGAGCAGATTTCTCCAAAACTAAGCGCACCTCCCAACAGGTGTGAGGAATTAGCGAGATATTCTTGTTAATTTTGTAACCCAGTTAGTTAAAATTAGGTGTGGGGGGGGGCATGAGACACGCCTTGTCCTGTTGCAGCAGCTGCTGGCCCCCACCATCACCAGCAACCAGAGCACTGTGCAGTCTCGGGAGATGAGCCATATGCCAAGTTACAAGCAGCACCTTCACTTTTGTGGCAGCTTTTGGGCTCCAGCAAACAGGCGCCCGCCCCCCTTCTCAGCATTCCAGATGCCCACTTTGAAAGAACAAAAGTCTCCACGCACACCTTTATTTAACACTCAGCTTTCAAGGTTAAAGGGGAAAAATACAAAATCTACGAAATCCCTTTGTTTCAAAGGATGTTGGCACACAGAACTTAAGGCAGTAGATTAAATAAATATTTAGTGACTCATCTGGTCTTAGAGCTTCCAGGACAATGCACGGTCTGGCACGGTGATAAAAGCAGCATGTTGCCTATTGGCCTGCAGAACAGCCCAGCACAAAACCCTTGCGAGTGAGCAATACTAAAGGAAGTCGTTGGGGGCGGTGGCGGCTGCTCCTCACTGCCTGGAGGGAGGCAGCTGGGCTGCACGGGCACTCGTTGCCAGGCATCCTCTCCTCCCCGTGGGTCAGACCCAAAAGCTGGTCGTGTGGATGCGAGGAAGAGGGAGGGGGTGGAGGCTCGGTGGAGGCTTCTGGTGAGCCTTCCAGCAGCGGCAAGGTGCTGAGGCAGCAGCGTGCGGCCTCCCGCTTCATTTGCTGGCAAGCGGGACAGTGTTCCTTGGAAATCGATGCGCCCTCTTAGGAGCACAGTGCTCCCCCTGGGTGCAAGATGCTCCTATAGGTGAAATATGAAAAGCGAGCTGCACAAATCACGTAACCCCCAGAGTATCAAAGAGTGAGGTTTTCTGACAAATATTTGTTTCCAATCTCAGAGGCTTGAGACTGTTCTCAAGAACCAAAACAAATAGTTTGGCTTGCAGGAGCCACTGCTCCCTCACCAGAATTCCCAGTTGTGTCATTGCCATGTGTAACCAGGTTCTGTTTACACATGAAGTGTTTCCCCCAGTGTTCAAAACAGACAACCTTCTCAGAAACTGTTGGAACAGGGCATGCATCTGAACCCTTTTCGAAATGCACACAGCTTTTCCTTGCTGCTTTAATTTCACTCGCTTGATGTGCTCTCGTTTAAAAGGAACTGTTTTCAAAGACGGCAGAAGGTGGAAGAGGAAGGGTCCCTGCAGACTAACAGCATTAGCAAGGATGTGCGAGCCCTTGCAGACACTTCCAGTGCTCGAACCCCCTCTCAGCTTTGCTCATTTCCCCTTAAGCAGCAGGGGGAAACTTGAACCCAACCAAATCCAGTGGCTGCAGCGAAAGGGGCAGGGCCAAAATGCTGACCTATTTCGGCATTAGCCCTTCCTACACGTAAAGGCATGTCAACATTTTAGAAGGGGAGAAAACACTGTTAAAACTGGGTAACCACACAAGGATCAATGGCTGCAAGAGAGGGAGGGTCCATCTCGGGCATCGGGAGGCCTGGCCTGGGAGCTCAGGAGGGTCAGCTTTGTGCTCTGGGCCCGTGGTTCCCCACGCCCACTGCGGCAGTGTTTAGTGCAAGACATCCCAGTCCCAGCAGAGAGCCAGCAAAGGAGGGTTCTGCAGCATTAAATAAAGCTTGCTCCCTTTTCTGTCGCCCCCTCCCTTTTACCACGAGGGGCCTTGCCTGTGCTTAAGAGGTAAGGTCTGCAGAGCAATGAGCACAATGCAGGCTGGTACCGCAGGGAAAGGAGCATGGGTCCTGGTGGCAAGGGAAGGGTTGTGGAGATCCATATCTGGGCTTGAGAGCAGCGGAGACACTTGCCCAGTCATGTCCACAAGGTACACATGAACCGATCGGGGCACCACTGACAACCCTCCAAGGTCCAGTCTGGCCAGCCGAAGCAGGCAGAGGACAGCCCTGCTTCCAGCAGCCACAGGCGGCAGAGAACTTTCCAGGGGGAGAGGGTACCCTCTGGGGGTCTGGGCTGCAGGTGTGGGGCACGGGCTGCAGGAGGGGAGGGAGCAGGTTCACTGCAGGGCCCCTGTGAAGATCAGGAGTGCCCACCTGCACCAAGAGATGCATCCTTTTTAACCTAACGGGACAGAAGGTCTTGCCCACTGCAGTGCCTAGCAAAAGGCCCGGAAGGACACAGCAGCTCTCAGTCCACTGAGCTGGCCAGCGGTGGCTGCTGGACCACCACCCTTTTAAAGCCCATGGCTGTGGCCACCCCTGCACCTGAGAGTCATAAATTCAGCTGGCGTCATGTGGAGAAGGGGGGAAAGCATTACTACAGGGTGCACTTCTGCAAGTGGGGTGAGGGCCACCAACTTCGGCGCATTTAATTAAATTAGATTTATGCCCTCTTTTTCTTGAAGAACTCAAGGCAGCTTCCATCTTTCTCCTGCTGCTCTCAAGTCTTACCACCACAACAAAAACCCTGTGGAGAAGGCTGGGTTGAGAGTCTGACTGGCCCAGAGATTCTCTGCTGGCACCATGGCAAATGGGGACTAGAACCCGGGTCACCGCCATCCAAAGGAGAGAGACCTGCAGTAACTGTACTACTTGCACGGAACTGGCAGCCACCCGTGGCACTGCTCCCAACAGCTCTGTGCTGGGCCGGGTGCCTCCACATTGCAGCCTCCGGCTACCAGCAGGAAGGACTCAGGTGCACTTGTATTCCTCTGGGCCTCCAGCTGACCCATGAGGCCAGGGTACTGCACCGGGTCTAATGTCGCAGGGGGCTCTTCCGAAGCCCTTAACTCCTCCCTATTCCCTCTCCTTGCATACTTGTGCAGAATATTGTCCTCTCCTACCCTTTGTCAGCCTTTTTACCAAACTAATGCCCTCAACTGATAAAGCGCGGCCTTGTAAGAAAGGTGCTTTTCAAAGGTTTTGGATCAAAGTTTGCCAACTCTGAGGCCAAACAGGGCAGTTGGACCCCAATTCCTCTCCCACCTGCCTTCCTCCTTCCTTTCTGGAGCTTCCCAGTAATGGCTGCCCCACCTCTGACAGGCAGGAGAGAGAGCGTGAATCAGCGGTGGCCAGGCAGGCGTCTTCCCCAGCCGCTGCTTCCCCGCGCCCCCCCTTGCACCTCAGCAGCATCCCCACGAAGCAGAGCGGGCTCCCAGCAGCGCAGCGGCTCCAAGCCGGGGGAAATCCGTCCCCACAATTAACGCAGCTCGTTCAAGTTCTGGTTGTGCTGCAGGTTCAAGCTGAGGGCATTATCCAAAGGCAGTCGCTCCTCCTCCTCGTCTTCCAGCGTCTCTGGCATGAACTGGCGGAAAATACTGACACTACTGTGCCAGAAGATGGGCTCTGGGAGCTGGCCAGCCACGCTCCACTTCCGAGTCTCGGGATCATATGATTCCACCATTCCTGAAAGTTCAAAGGTGTTATCGTAACCACCAGAGACATAAAGCTTTCCACCAAGGACAGCCAGGCTGCCACCAACATGCACCTGAAAAAAAAAAAAAAAGATGTGAAAGTTGGAGCAGGGGTGGGGGCGCAACATGTTCGGGTCTTAATTCAAAACTTTGGCATTTATCTCTTGAGTTTTGTTCTCTTCAACTGAGCGCAAGTCCCATTCCCTGAAGAAAATTCTGAATTTCATTCCTGTCCTCTTCGACGTTATCAGTGCCTCCCAGTTTTGCACAAGTCCATCTAACACAACCTTCCCCAGCATGGCAGGAGCCGCATTCCAGCTGGGGAAGGGAGGCCTGGCTCGCTGATGACGGCAGCGGGCGGCACGGGCTCCGGCACTCGGCTCACAGCCCCCAATTTGGCGAGAGCCCACTGAGGAGCCCTCTTTAAATGCCGGCAAAGCAGCTGAGAATGCGCCCGATGGAGCGACTGCGAAATCACGAGTGGCTTTGTTACATCAGCCTAGCATCTCCGCATCTAATAATCTAGTAACCAGATTTTAATTTTGAAAATAGAGGGCAAGAGATGAGAAGAAACCAGCTAGATGTTTGTTTTGCAAATCTTGCTGGCCTCTGCTAATCACTACATTATTATAAAGACATTTTCAGACCAATCTGCTTTTTTAGCTTCTCCTTTGTTCAGCTCATACCGACTGGTCTATTTCCCAGAACAGGTGTTCTCCTCTTTTTGGCATCTCACCTGTTCTCAGAAAACAGAGCTGCTCAGAATCCATCAGCAAGATCCTCCAGCAGCCAAGGATGCAATTCACCCAACCCAGAGGCACGGGCTCCTTCGAGGGACCCGGGTTCCCCTTGTCCAGCTCTTGCTGGGCTACAAGCGCAGTCCTGACCGCTGAGCACTCATGCGCCACCTGGCAAACTCCACCCGATGCCTCCCTCTGGGAGAAAATGCCTTTCACAGGCAGTGGCAGCCCTACAATGTGTCCAGTTTAATTAACCTCCACTACATCTGTTTCAGTTGAAATAATCCCTTCCCTTGGCACAAGTCCACTGAATGCAGGGGGTAACTGCTGGCTGAGCAGGGGCAGGGCTGCAGGACAACGTGCTCCTTTGGCTAGTGCTTCAGCGGCACTTCAGGACCACAGTGTAAGCGGCAGCCACGTGCGGTGGCGCCAACGGCCAGCCGACCCGTGCCGGCCCCCTAGCCACTCTCGAGGCACAGGATTCCACCTGCTTTCCTCTGCCACCAGCACGCCTGCTTGCCCCACTCCAAGCTGCAAGGGGGAGGCATCCTCTGGCTCTGCCAAAAGCCACCCCCCCCCCGGTCTCTGCCGGTCAAGCGGCCGCTGCCCACTTGCCCTCCATGACTCGCCTGGCAAAACACAACCCCACCACTTGGGGCCATCAGTGAGGGGCAGTGGGGGCCCTGGGGAACGTGGCTATGTGCCCCAGCACCCCTCTCCATGCTACACACCGGGAGCATCCTGTTTGTTTAAAACGGCAATTGCTGGCAAACCACACCTCACGGAGGGGTTAAATTTCGCCTGAGGCTACTGGCACTGGCAGTTTCAGGTAATCTGAGCTCTGTGGCACAAGGCCGCCACCGCTCGTTCCCTCCACTGCCTTCTGCGCACATGCCTCGCTTTTTGCTAGGGCCCTTAAGTCATCCAGAGATCTACCTGGAGCATTGGAGGGATCTTGTCCCACTCGTTCTTTGCCGGACTGTAGACGTCCACTTCCGCAGAGTCATCTCTGTGGGAAGAAAGGAGGAGGTGCCACTGAGAGGGTGTCTGGGGCAGACGGGCGGGCGCTGACCGTTCCCAGTTGCTGCTGCATTCCCCGTGGGGCCAAAGCGCCCAGCCCCACTCAGCCCCATGGCACTTGTCCTCCAAGGCCAGGTTTCTCTACAGGCAGCCAGGAAAAAAATACATATTCTGCCAGCAGGCCTGTTGCAAAAGGAGGTCCCTCCATGCAAACAGAATGTTGTTGGTCAAAATCCACCCAGATCGTCCAGGCAGACTCGTGTGTCATCCAAATAAACTAGAGTCCCTCCCTGCACCAAACAATTCACGCCTGGGCCACCTCGAAGACACCCGCAGGCTGTTTTGCAGCCGGGGGTGCCGCTTCTGTCCCCACTCCCACGAGGGCCCACGTTGCAAGGCGAAGGGGTGGGTGCCGCGCCCACCATGCAGGCCCCCTCGCCATTTGCAGCACGGACCCCGCAGGGTTCCATGTCATGCCAAAAGCCCGCGCAAGCAGAAGAGGTTCCCTGCCACAGACGCTTTCAGCCAGTCGGTGGCGGGCAATGAGGGTGGCCACGGAGGAGCGCAGGAGCCGAGCCAGGGGCTGGCGCTCAGCCTCTCTACCTTGCACATTAGTGGTACACAGGAGAACTCCTGAATCATGCTCATGAGTTACAGGCGCACATTAAATCAAACAGGGTTTCTGGTCCCTATGGATACGTGAGCCACCCAGTAGTTTACAAGGCAGTAGAACAGACTGGACAACTCCTCAGTGCACTGACATAAAATTCACAGCAAGGTCCACCCCACACTTCTAGTGACTTTGTTGACTCCAACATGCAATTTCAAATAGCACTCATGATCACAACTTGAGGAGAAAGGGAAGAAAGACTCCTGCGCTGACAAATACATCAGATGCTAAAAGGTCCCGGCAGAGTGAAGGGCGCAGACTCTGGCACTCTCTCCCTCACCTGAACGGGCACCTCGCCCTGCCCAGCACAAGTGCCTCACGCCTGCATGCGAAATTCATTTCTATTTGTGGCGAAGAGTTACCCTGCTCACACCTGTCAAGCAAAACGCATGCTGCCCTGAAGGCCATCGGGGTTGGACTTGATGGCCTTTGTGTCCCCTTCCAGCTCTACTATTCTATGAAAAAACGTTTATATACTCCTGACCTTGCCATGCAGCTGAAAGGCAAGAGTGGGGAGATGGAGTGCATGCACCAGGAAAGATGCATACTTTTTGAAGTGTATGAACACACTTTAATTCACGGAAGAAGACTGGGTAATTCTGAATGCAGATCCAGTGATGCGGCTACTTGAAGTGGCCAACAGGAGGGGGGGACTCTAGCCAAGAGCCCCTCTTCCCAATCCAGAGCATGGGGTGCGGGGAGGGGGCAGGAGACAGCATCTCCTGGCTGAAGGACTGACCCGAGTTTTCCCCAGATGTGCCCATACGTGGGCGATTCTGCGACCCTGAAAGACAAGAGTGTGCAGTGCCTGCTTACTTTCCTGTAAATAAGATAACAATGGAAGTTGTTTTTCCTGGGCTCCATTTTGCCTACTTTGTGCCAGGAGACCGTTTTTCTGCAGCATGAAGCATCTTCCTCCTCTTACCCTGGACTGTTTGACTGGCGCTTGAGCACACCAGGACCGCATCCCACTTTTGCGGCCAACAAGGCAATGGAGGAAAGGAAGAGATTTTGGAATTTCTTGAAAATGGCACCACTTGGGCGCCTTCCGGAAACACCTCACAGAAGCATTCTGCACCCTACACTTTTCTGGCACGGCTGCCAGGGGTGTTCTCCTGGGCGCTCCCTCTGGCAGGGGAGGGCGAGCCGGGCTGCCGCAGCGGCTCCTTCCCTGCCCCCGGCCAGGCTGGCTGCCCTGCTGGGAGGCCCTTCTCTGGAGGCACGGGCGAAGCCAGGGCCAACGGACGCGGCTGCGCCTGCCCTCCAGGGCACCCGGCCTGGAGCCAGGAGCGCCCTTCAGCAGGGGGGGCAGCCCCGCTCCTGGCAGCCTCTCCTTCGTTGGCCCGGGGGGGGCGGGGGGGCTCCTCCTCGTCGTGATGCATGCCTTGGGGCTGGAGGGGCA